AAATGCAGCCTCAGTCACTTACTAGCTGTGTGACCCTGGGCAAGTCCTTTAACCCCCTTTGCTTCAGTTTCCTCATCTGTAAAATGAACTGGAGAAGGAAATAGCACACCACTCCGGTATCATTGGCAAGAAAACTCCAAACAAACAAACAAACAAAAGTCAAACTGGACTGAAAACAACGGAACAATAATAATCCCTACCCCTAGCTGTCCCTTTAAATCTCCTTGCATTTGGCAATGGAGAGAGTTCTAGAGACTTCCAATACATTGTATATAATAACCTTGTGGAGAATTTCAGAAAGAACACACTGAATAGGGGTGAGGGGGTAGGGTAGAGGGAGAGGGTGGCTGTGTTTTGATTTCCTTCTACCATTAGGGAAAGGCTCTTTACTGATGAGAGCCTGAAAATATCCAAGTATAATAGAAACCTAATAGAGATTTTTCCAAGCTGCAGATAATGGAGTTAATGCTTTTAACATTTTCCCTTGTACCTTTGAAGGTTGATACTTTGGGGCTGGTTACTATGCTTTAGAGTAAAAACAAACAACAAGCAAAACGAAAGAAAAAAATGTAGAATTCTCCTTTGCAACCAGCATGAGCCACAGTTGATCTACTTACATCTGAAAGTATCCCTGTAGCCATGCGCCGGCCTCTGTGTTTAAGGAGTGGTTACTTTATAGCAAAGGAGCTCTTATCTTCAGACGGGAGGACCTTTTTCAAAGACCAGAATGGGACGTTCACTCTTCCTGAAAGCATTCATTGACTGGCAGAGCTGTCCACACATAGTTGCCCCCGGGGTACTGAGTAGTCAATATGATTTGTCCCTGGTCACACAGCCAGAAGGGATTCTTATTTGTTGAAACTGGCCTAACCCAAGTTAAACTTGACCTCTCTGCTTCAGTGTCCTAGCTGAACTTGACTTGATAAGGAGATTTTTTTATCTTAAGTCAGTTAAAATATTAATCTTTGGATCATTTTTATCATCATTTTCTGCACTTTGTAAGAAAAACAATCCTTTTTGTTCTTTATAATGCCTTGAGCAAATATTTTTGATTTTCAAAGGTAGAGATGCAAGCCTTGGGAAAGTTTGAAAGTGTGAATTAATGAAATATTTGTCTTTCAGCAATAATCAGAGTGATCAAAACCTAATCAGTGGGTGAGTAATGCTGGCCTTGGGACATTTTTTTCTCATATGAGGAGAATGGGAGAGAGAAGGATGCCAGCCAAGCACAGATTCCTTAGGCATTGAGCTGCCACAGCAGGCACCGAACTGCCAGGCAGAAGCATCCTTGCTATTTCTGGGGAAGCTTCAAGTTGAAGTTGTTTTGAGCAAAGTGAAGGTTGGAATTGTGAGGTTGCCCTGATGCATGACTGACAGCTAGGAGAAAGAAGCCATCTTACACCAAATATGTCTGTCTGGAGGAAATAAGGGAGATTTTCATGAAGAAAGGCCTCTTCATTCTGATTTCTCTTTCCTTCTTCATTTCTTTCAGTTTTCCATTGTACCAGCTGTGCATTTAGCCACTTAGGTATAGATGAATGAATGATTTTCACAGATTATGTCTTATGCGCTGGTCTCTACAATAAGGTACGCAGTTCTTTCCTTTGAGGGGAGAAACATAATTGCATAGACTGAGCGTCTTCTCTTTGTTTCCTGCCCAGGTGTCTCTTTGACTCCCTCTGGGCTGGTGGCCTATGTGGAAGCAACATCTTCCTGGTCCCACTAAGTCATAATCTAGAGTTGCCAGTGATTCTCTTCTGCAGAATATTTCTCCCGCTCAGCTGGCAGGATTCCCCAGTTGTGGGGCTTTGGGTGTGCTATGGAACTGTGTTTGTCCCAGGAGGAGTGTAAAGGTATGAGGTTCATACGGAAGAAAATAAAGCTCCCTGCCTCACCACCCCACCCCAAGTCCCTTTCTGTCTAGTGGGACTTGAAGTGAGGGGTCAGTAGCCTAGTATTTGGCCTTATTAGAAAAGCATGAGTTGTTTTGATTGATACATTCCTAATGTATGTTTCAAGGGTTTGGCACTGTTTTTCAACAGGGGAAAAGTCTCTTTTCTAATGAAATAAACTGAGTAGCACTGATCTGAGAGCCAAATTATTGGAGCTAGACATTGTTTTTACAAAATCTTATATTTGAATGATAGTGATTGAAAAAAAGGCTGCCTGAATGAACCAGTGCCTTAACAAGCAAAGAAAACCAAAGTGATCAGTTACCTCCTAGCCCTTAGAGCTGTCCCTGTGGTGCACAGGCTACCCTGCATGAGGTAGGTGGCATTGCCTCACAAAGTCTTAGAGCAGAGGCTGGATCACCATTGGGGGAGGGGAAGAGGGGGTGCTCCTTGAGGTACTCAGTGGATGAGATGGACACTGGGTCTCTTCCAACTTGGTGATTGAGTGCTATTGTCACCATTGTCTCTCTCCCCCATTTTTAAGTCTGTTGTTAGCACAGACAGCACAGGAGGGTCATTTTTTGTGACTGGAGCTGCCAAATGCCCCATGATGCTAATGTAATCTCATGTCATTATAATGCCTAGATGCATCTATCATTTCTACACTTTGAGTTCAATGTTGTAGGGTATAAATACAAAAAGGCATTGTATTCACCACATGAGAATAGAAGTAGCAATGACAGTGGTGGTGGTAAATGGCATTTCCATGGGCTCAAAGGTTCATAAAGTGCTTCTCATGCCTCATTTCTCCTGATGTTTATTTGATCCAAATGAACAATGCAAAGCTACCTGAAAGGTAAGTCACAAACTAACACCTAAACATAATAGAAGGCCCTCCTCAGCAGAGGGCTCCTGTCCAACTGGCCAGCTAGGCAGCATGTACCTTCCACCTCCATGCTTTTGCACAAGCTGTGTCCCTGCCACCTGAAATAATCACCCTTGGGAGTCTTTGAATATCCGCCATCTGATGTGGTGTCTGGAACATGACAGTCATGTGATACGTGCTTGTTGAAATCAGGTGAGTTGGACTCAATTGTCAGGGAAGTCCAGTAAGACATTCATGCCACCAGGGCAGAAGGGATGTGACTGAGGACAACTTTGAGTGACTAAGGCATTTTGAGCATTATAAGTAATGAAATTAACTACAAAGAGCCTATGAAGGAAGACACTATCTGCATCCAGAGAAAGAACTGATAAATAGAAGTATGTCTAGAATGACTTTACATACGTGTGTGTGTGTATGTGTGTGTGTGTGTGTGTGTGTGTGTGTGTGTGTGTGTAATGGTACCCATCTCTAGGGTAGGTGGGGAGAGATTGAAGACAAAAATTAAAAAAAAGGTTGTATAGCTCTATTATATATTTAAAGGAATAGTAAATTGTACATAATAGATTTGTAGTTTATGTGCAATTATCTTTTCCCCCCTATTGTACTATGTTATGGAAATGCTTGTTTAATTTCTTAAATTCAGAATAAAATTTGAAAAAAAAGAAAAAGAAAACCTCAAGGGAAATGTCATGTCTTCGGGAGCCTTTGAAAGTTTAAGGGGAGTAGAGATGTCAGGAAGGTGCAGGCTATTTTCCACCATCCACCAAGGACAGTAGGGAAAGCACAGGATTTGGAATCAGTCTTAGCTTTGTCATGTAGCAATGGATAAATTACTCTACCATTGATCCAGTCAGTCCATATTGAAAGTAACTACTCATGCCAGATATTGTGCTGATTACAGGCATCCAGAGTCCCATAAACTCCCTGCCCTCAAGGAACTCAGATTCCACTGGAGGGAAAGCCTACAGCCAGAGAAAACAAAGCACAAACTAGCTAGAAAGTAACATTTGAGGAGAGGATGCCTCAGAGTCAGTGAGATGGAGTTTGGTGTGCATCAGTCCCTTATACACAGTTGGGGTTTAATGATGTGTTGAAGAGGGAGCACATTCCAAGAACAGAGGACAGCCAGCCTTTGAAAAAACATGGAGATAGGCAAGGGAATGTTGTGTGCAAGAAATGACAAAAGCCAGATTGGCACATGGAGTGAGGGTAGAGGGCTTAAAACCAAACTGGAAAGGATTTCAAGGGCCAAAAGGAGGACTTTGATTTTTATCCTGGAGGGAAGTAGGTCACTTGAGCAGGCAAATTACCTAATCAACCCTTAACATTATGAAAGTCTATTTGGAAGCGGTGTAGAGAATGGATTAGAGAGGGGAGGGACTGGAGGCAGGGAGACCCTGAGAAGGCTACTAGGAGAATTCAGGTGACAGGTGATGAGGACATGAACTGGAGTAATATCTGTGTTAGAGAAGAGAAGAACATGGGTGTGAGGGATGAAAAATCATCAATACTTGGCAACTGATGGGACATTAAGGATAAGAGAGGGACAAAAATCGAAGAAGACTTTGAGTTTGCAACCCTGGTACCTGGAAGTATCAAAAGTGCCATGCCCACTACTGTGTATTTCAGGGAAAACAAGCACCTCTGATATGAAGGCTTGCTGAGTCCTTTTCTGGGCTGCTTTCACCCAACTCTGACCTGTGGCTCCAAGAAGCTGTAGAATGGGCATAGTCCGTAGACCCTGAGATGGATTAAACCAGGTTGAGAGTAACTGACAAGCCTCAAACCAATCAGTGAATTAGAAGGGTGTCTACCCCAAGCATCTGAGGACTTCTCCTAGTGGAATGGGTGGATAAGAACAATATGTTCCAATGGCCAAGAAGGCAGCAGGACCACGTGCTGCAGAATGCTTAGAGCTTGGTTAGACATTGAAAACCCCAAGGTGATGCCACTGTCATCACCATCCCGGGCCATCACCAGTCATCTTGTGTTTTGTCCTGCTACTAGACTTGGATGACTGTGGAAGAGAGAGAGAGGTGATGACTCTGCAACTCTGCCTCACTTAAATCCAATTCACGAGTGATTCAAGATGTCACCTCATGGTGTCACTGGTCCTCTTTGAAACAAAGGATGAACAAGTTAGCAACCTGCTCCAATGCTGTGAGGACCAGCCTCCAAGTGCTCCTACTTGACCATGAAGGAGAATTGTGCCACATATCCCCATAGGACACACCCAGCTCTATGGCTTTGGCCAATGCTTGCCCTGTTTACAAAGTGCTAATGACTCTCCCATTACAGGTAGAATCAAAATGTGGTGGCTTTTAGCAGCCTTGAGTGTGCTCCGTTTGCTTGGAACAACACATGACTTCTTTGGGAAAGGAAAACCTGATGATCCAGAGGTCAATATGAATGTTGTAAGTTGTCTTTCAGAAAATACATAAATAAATAAATATGTAAACAACAAATAAATAAGTGAATAAATAAATGAATAAATAGACAAATAAACAGACGAACAAATAAATAAATAGATAAGCACATAAATGAATGAATGAATGAATAGACAAATAAATAAATAAACAAATAGATATGGCAGTATTGGATATAACTCTGATTCAAATGGCTAGAAGTCTGACAGTCTATAAGTTAAGCACAATGTTCAAAACAAGAGAATGGACTATTTCACTCCCCAAAGGTAAGAGATGTGGTTTTTCTCTATCCAGAGTCAAATCATTGCTTGCTGGGGCTATCCAAATGAAGAGCGTGAAGCTGTGACTGAAGACAGCTATGTCCTGACACTCAATAGAATTCCTCGTGGAAAAAATAGTGCAAGGAAAGGTGCGATGCCGAGGCTGTGCTGTCGGAGCTTCTTTCGGAAGCCATTGGAAGGGCCGTCCGCTAGTTTTCCATAAGCTTCAAACTCTCCTTGGCTTTTCAGGTCCACAGCCAGTCACTTATCTTCAGCATGGTTTTCTCACTTCTGCCAGTGATTGGATTTTAAACCTGCCAGGCAGTAGCTTGGCCTTCATGCTGGCAGATGCAGGCTATGACGTGTGGATGGGGAACAGCCGGGGGAATACCTGGTCCAGGAAGAATGTTTACTTTTCCCCAGATTCATCAGAATTCTGGGCTTTCAGGTAAGAAAACAATTAAAATGAGGAGATTTTGCTTACTGCCTTTATTCAATCACCCCATTTCCTGTTTAGCAGCATGTTTGTGTACAGTCTAGGAATGGAGAAGAAAGCCTTCATCATTCCATGCTCTCAGCTTATTCTCTCATTTTCCTTATGTTGAAAGGGGAAGAATCTTTTTGAGACAAGAAGAGGGCACGTTTAAGAAAGTTGGGTAACGTTTCATCACACAATACAACAGAAATGAAGCCAGCCAAATGGACAATGGGCTTACATGGCAGAGACGGACTCCCCGTCCTTAAAAGTCGAGTTCAGAGGCTAGAGAAGAGGAAGCCCAGATAGAAACAGGGACCACTGAACCATACACCTGGATTCCTCTGGGCCACATTGATGTAATTTTAAAATATGATATTATGTTGCACTGTATTTTCATTTATTTTGTTTAGCCCATGTGGCCTATGGATTGATTACATGTTTGATGCTTCTGGTCAAGGGAATTCCAACTCAGGTATAGGCTGGAATTCATCACTCCCAAGATCCTTTGCAAAGCTAAAATTCTGTGACTCAGTGAAATTTGTTTTGTCTTGGTTTTTTTTGTTTTTTTTTTTTTTTTGGCTAGGCAATGGGGTTATAAGTGACTTGCCCAGGGTCACACAGCTAGCAATTGTTATGTGTCTGAGGCCGGACTTGAACTCAGGTCCTTCTGAATTCAGGGCCGGTGCTCTATCCATTATGCCACCTAGCTGCCCCAGACTCAGTGAAATTTGAAAGGAGTCAAATGAGCCCCCACTCACGTTCCACCAATTCTGCATAGCCTTCCCATCTTGTGACATTGCAGCCCTAGTATGGGTGCACTCACATTCATTTTGTCTCATTCTTGCAGTTTTGATGAAATGGCTAAATATGACCTTCCTGCCACAATCAACTTTATTTTGGAGATGACTGGCCATGAGCAACTTTACTATGTGGGCCACTCCCAGGGTTCCACTCTAGGTATGTGAAGGCTGACTGGCATGTGAGATGGTTGACTTGTCATGCATCTTGATCAAAGTTCTGGCTTGAGCCTGGCTCTGGGCTGCATAATGTTAACTGCTTTGATCTGGAATGTGAACAGCTCCCCTTCCTGTAGCTTCCTACTCTCAGACAAAGGTTAGGAAGAAAGCTGCCGATTAAACTAAGTACGCTGATTCTTGCTAAAATATGTACAACCAAGGAGAGCTCAACATGTTGTCCCTATAAGGGACATTTGTATTTTAAGAGGAGATGCTCGTAAACTCCAAAGAATGAAATTCTAATAATAATAACTAGCATTTATATGGTGTTTTAAGGCTTGCAAAGCACTTTAGAAATACTATCTGATTTTGTCCTCACAACTACCCTAGCAGATAAGTATTTTGATTCTCCCCATTTTACAGATGATGTAACTGAGGTGTGCACAGAGTAAATGACCTGCCAAGACTTGTGTCTGAGACAGGATTTGAACTCAAGGCTTCCTAACTCTAGGAACCACGACAAGTATCTGCCCATAACCTATCTGCCTATAATAATGGGACGTCTTTCAGTCTCTGATTCTAACAAGTTTGTGTGGGTGATCTCTTCCCGGTGCCCCTTCAGATCAGATGACAGATGATATTACATTCATCAATGCAAGCATACTTTACTTTACTGAGCTTGACAGATGTCATAGTTTGTTTTTGTTTTTGTTTCTTACAAATTGAAAGTTTGTGGCAACCCTGAGTTGAGCAAGTCTATTGATGTCATTTTTCCAATGCAATGAGCTCATATCATGTCTCCGTGTCACATTTTGGTAATTCTTGCAATACTCCAGGCTTTTTCACTATTATTATATCTGTTATGGTGATCTGTGGTCAATGATCTTTGATGTTGCTTTTGTCATTGTTTGGGGCTACCTGAACCACGCCCATATAAGATGATGAACTTGATCGATAAATGTTGTGTGTGTTTGGACTGTCGGACTGACTGGCTATTCCCATCCCTCTCCCTCTCCTTGGACCTCCCTGTCCCCTGAGACAAAACAGTATTGAAATTAGGCCAAGTAATAACACTACAATGGCGTTTGAGTGAAAGGAAGAGATAATCGATGTGGCAAATTTCATTGTTATCTTATTTTAAGAAACTGACATATCTCAATCTTCAGCAACCACCACCCTGATCGCTCAGCAGCCATCGACATTGAGGCAAGACCCCCTCACTTGCAAAAAAGATTACGACTCACTGAAGGTTCACAGCATGGTTAGCATTTTTTAACAATAAAGTGTTTTTAAATTAAGGTATGTGCATTGTTTTCAGACATAATACTACTGCACATTTAATAGACTACAAGTATAAATGTAACTTTCATATGCACTGGGAAACAAGAAAAATTCTTGCGACTCATTTTATTGCAATATTCACTTTATTGTGCTCTGGAACTGAACCTGCATTATCTCCAAGGTATGCCGGCAACAGCAGCCATTTATTAAGGGCTTATTGTATGCAAATCACAGTGTAAGGCCTTAGCGAAAAATAAACAAAACAAAAAATCACTAAACTAGAGCCCCTGCCCTTAGTAAGGTCACCCCACTCTACCTATGATAGAGGCTGGCTCTGTTTCTTGGTCCTTCTGTACTAGGCAATGCTAGAAACACAGAACCATTTAAAAGGAGGTATGCGTAAGTATTGCTTCTTCCTCATCCTTGTGGGATCGGAAGCCTAGACCTGTATTTTTACTGGGCTTCTGGAGGCTCTGACATCCTTGGAAAGACCTGTGGGAAGAGTAGGAATCACTAACCTGAAGATACTCTGAGGAAAAGCATTCACATAGGAAAAGAACAGGGTCTCTGTGCAGGTTGGTGGAAAGTGCCCCCTTAATGGCCCAGCAGCTAGAGCACTGGACTTGGGGTCAAGAAGATCTGAGTTCAGATCCTGCCTAAGACCCTCACTAGCTCTCTGACTGAGGAAGTCATTTCACTTCTCCAGACTCCGTTTTCTTAGCTGTAAAATGAGGGGGGTTGTTGTCAATGGCCTGTACAGTTCCTTCCGGTCCAAAGTCTATGATCCTATGAACTTTCAAGAGCAGTTCCTAGAATGTTCTGGCCATACCGTGGTCACTGGGTGTGACTCGATATACCTTCATCCATTTCCTACACTTCTTCTTCTCTCCCAGTATCCTTGTTTCCCCACTTTGCATTTGCCTTTCTCCCATCCCCATTTTCTCCTTTGGTTTCTCAGCTCACCTAGAAAGCCATAAAGTGGCCAAACCCAGGCCATGTAGGCCCAGGCTTTGACACCTGCTTATGATTTCATGGTCTGCCTCTCCTGCTGTGAATGCATGTAATTAAAATGCCTTGCTTCAGCCCGCAAGATTCCCTGAATTACTATCTGGTAACAGCTTGTTTTCCACATAAACAAAACAGAGTCTTTACATTTCCAAAACTTTGGGGATTGTAACCATTTTGATGGTCAAATTTCTACACCTCCTCTTGATTTCTTCAAAAGGTATTACTGGGCTGAATACAACATCTGGCACATAGTAGATACTTCACAGATGTTGACTGATTGATTGATATAAAAGTACACCATGGAGCTAGTGGATACTGGTGGCTTCTGGGGCTATCGAGGGGCATTGAACTTTGGACTTTGCACTCAATGGCCCCAGGTTTTGGACTATTTTTTCTGTCTTCTCTTTTGCTATTAGGCCAGCCTCTTGGATGAGCAGTGGTTCTTAGCGTTCCTGCCTCTGGGAGCTCCTCTCCTTCTTAGTTCTAATTTGCTGCTTCTAATCTGTCATGAGCTGGACGCCCATATCCCAGCTCACCCAAATGGTTTACAAGCAAAGAAAAACAGCACAATTTGGCTTGGAGCATTCTTCTCAAATGAAGAATTTCCTCATGAGTTTTACTTTAAAGAGAATCAAGCTCTTGTTATATGTGCATGGTGGGAGAGGAGGAAACTGGCCGTTTGGCTGGCCAGTCTCCCAGTGTCTCCCCAAGGAGGTGGGGGCTGGGGTCAGAATAGAGAAAACACAGAATGTGGAAGCAACCTGGGCTTGCCACTTGCTCCCCACATGACCTTGAACAGCCTGCTCGGAGCTGCTTTCTGCCTAGGAGGAGATTTGCCCCACAGTCAAGCAAGGAGGTTTGACCAGATGACCTCTAAGGTCCCTTCTTGGCTTTTGCTCTGTAATCCCACTATCCCTTGTCATTCCTACACAATCCGGTGCTGGGGCCTGAGCTGATGAGTCTTCAGATCTTGGCATGTTCCTGTTAGAGAAACAAATCACGTTGGCATGGAAATATGTATGCCAGCTCTCTTTTTATCCAAGTGTGTAAGTAAGCAGAGCCTCTCAAGCTCCGCTGCTCTCTCCTTTCAGAGTCTGCCCCAGATGCCTGGAGCACACCAGCCCTGGCCTCTAGAAATCCCCGAGAACCGTCATAACTGAGCCCAGAAGCCTCTGCCCACCCCTCCCCAGGCTCTCACTTCCAGCATGCTTGGTGTCCTTCGGCTCAGGTGAATGAAGGTCCCTGTGGTCACGCGGTTCTTGATCTCTTCCAGCTTTCATCGCGTTTTCTACAGACCAGGCTCTGGCTCGCAAGGTCAAAGCCCTTTTTGCTTTGTCTCCCACCACTGCCATGAAACATGTGAAGACTCTCTTAAGTATATTTTTGGTGTTTCCCAAGAAAATGTTCAAGGTACGTGGCTCTCCCAAGTCGATTCAGTGATCGTTTCAGTTAAAATCTTTCCAAGGATTCAGAACGTTACAAAAAAAAACCACTTAGAGATGGAAGACCCCCTTATCACTAAACCCCATGCAACTAAATCACATCCTACCCCCATCACTAAACCAAAGAGCAAATGGGAGGGAAAGGGACTTTACCAGGGTCACACAGCAGGATTCACACCCAGGTCCCCTGGGCCCAAATCCAACATTCCTTTCACTACCTATAACGCCTCCTCTAGACCCTAAATTTCTCTTAACAGCAAAAGGTTCAACCCAGACAAACCCCATCAAGTGGCAGTTTCTGCCCACCCTTCTGTTCTATAAGGTGACTTACTCCTGAACTGTGCTTACTGTATTCATCTCTCCCTTTAGAACCCAGGAAGACCCTTATGACATTGGGGGACCAGGACATTTGGGGAGCTGTTTTAATGTAACTTCTTATATAGGCCTGGAATTATTAATATTGTTACTATTAGCTACTATTGTTACTTATTATTATTACTAGCTAGTAGTTTAAGGATTATGAAGTGCTTTATATATGTTACCTCATTTGATTCTCACAATATTGGAAGGCAGATGTTATATTTATCCCCATTTTATGGAAGAGAAACTTGAGGCTTAAATTTAAGCTATTTGCCCAAAGTTACCCAGCAAATAAGTGTCTGAGGTAGATTTTGAACTCAGGTCTTCTTGCCTCCAAATCCAGCCCTCATGCCCTGTCCCACCTAGCTGCACCCCCAGAGAAACCTCAAAGGAAGAGAATGTCCAGACAAGGACAACCAGAGTCACTTACAGTCAAGTACTGAGCCATCCCAGGCTGGGGAGGACGATGGTGGGGGATAGAGGAGTTCAGTGATGTCATGAGATAGAGTCAGAGTCAGAGAGTTGGAGTCCATTGTACTTGGGTTAGGGTCAGGGCATTCAACAACTGTGACCAGAGGGTTAAGGCTGTTCTGAGAGCAATGTGGGGCAGAGGAGAAAGGGCCAGCCTTGGAGCCAGAAAGCCCCAAGTGCAATCCTGCCCTTGACACATCCTAGCTGTGCGACCCTCCGCTTTCTCAGAACCTCTTGGGGCAGCTCTCTCTGCTTGTACCTCATCCAAGACTTGCAAATCTGCATTGCTAGAGTGAGTTTCCACAGGAGTTTGCTTCACCAGTCAATAATCAATATTGAGCACCTACTGTGTGCCTGGGCTGTGCTAACCTTTGGACACACAAATACGAAAAAAAAAGTCTGTGGTCTTAAGTAGCTTATGGTCTAATGGGAGAAGACAACAATCTCCAAAATACTGCCCAAGGCATGAGGGAGGTCCCACAACCTGGGCCTGGGGGAGAGGTCAAACAAATTTAGAATAAGGGCAGTCGGGTGGGAAGTGAGGAGATTCTGTTCCCTGTTCCCTGTCCTTAAATGGAGGAGCTTCTGGCTCCCTATCCAATCAGAGGGACAGAGGGGACAGATGAGGCTGATTGGACATTGCGCACGATGAGATTTCCCAGTGATGAGTTTGCTGGGGGTGCAGTGGGGATGCTGAAGAAATCCCTAGTGAGTGCAGCTGAGTGGGAAACGAAGCGATGCCTCATCAGTGGGATCACCTGCATGGCCCTTTCTCCTCTCCTCTCTCTCACAACTCAGGATGAAAATACACACATTAAGAACTATGGCTTTACATGTGAGAAATATGCAAAAACCTTACTTCAATCATTAATGGTAATTAAGAAATATCACTTTAAATTGCATTGGAAAGAATACTGACTTTGGAGTTGGAGGATCTGGGGTCACAGCCTGTATCTAGTTCTCTGTACTCATGGCCCTTGTACCAGAGGGCCCTGTACCTTTGAGACCTGTACCTGTGGCCTCTGTACCTGAGGGCCCTGTACCTGTGGCCCCTGTACCTGAGGGCCCTGTAGCAATTCCTCCAACATCTGTGGGCTTCAGTTTCCTCATCTGTAAAATAAAGGGGTTGGGCTAGTTGCCCTCACGTCCTCCCAGGTCCAGAGCTCTGCCTTCCTTCAGTGCCCACTTAGAGCTATGTCTAAGTAGGAGACAATGAAAGTGAATGAAGGGAATAAGAGAGCCCCTGGATCCCAGCAGGGAGACCAGACCAGGAAAATGCTCAGCCAGCAAGCAAAAGGAGTAAGTCCGTTACTGAGCCTTGGCTGGGGAGGAAGCCATGATTCTCCAACATGGTTGTTTCTAATCGGTTTGGCAGGTTTTATTGGGTGACAGAGCATTCTTCACAGATGCTCATTTGGAGAAATTCATTGTCACCTATATCTGTAGCTGCAAGTTCCTTGACCAGATTTGTGCGGACGCCATATTCATCACGTGTGGACACAATCAAGAGAACTTAAATATGGTTTGTATGACTTGTGGGCCGCCTTCCCCCACTTGCCCCTAGAGACGTTGAGCTACGCAGCTGCAGAGAATTTGTCCCAGCCTTCCATGAAAAGAGCCCTTGGGGGCTCTTCTATGCGGGGGCCATGGATCCTGCCTTCCCAAGACCCAATCCTCATCCCACCTATCTCAGCAGGGCAGCTCAGTGGTGAAGTGGAGAAAGTACAGGATCTGGAATCAGGAAGATGGATTCAAATCTGGCCTCAGATACTTCCTAACTCTACGACTCTGGGCAAGTCACAGCCTCAGTTTCCTCATCTGTAAAATGGGAGTAAGAATAGCACCTACCTCTTAGGGTTGTTAAGAAGATTAAATAAGATAATCATTGCTCACACGGTGCCTGGCACATAGTAAGCACTATATAAATATTCACTGTTATTACTATTATTATGTAAAGAGCTACGGGTCCGTGGCTATGACTGACAACCAGACTCCAAGGAAGTCTGTAGCCCACTATGGTCATCTACTTTCCTCCCACCCACTGGGGCCCAACCCCAACTAACCATACTCTAAAAAAGTAGCATGTGGAGGCATGCGGATTGGGGAAATGACCTTGTCTTCTACTCCTGATAGCATCCTAATTTGAATGCACCCAGGACCTTCTCTGCATCTTCCATGGCACAGTGAAAGGAGCACTAGTCTGGGAGTCAGAAGACTGATTCAAATCTGACTTTGTTGCTCAAAACTGTGACCTTGGGCAGGGAGGATGGGCAGACCACAGGTGACAGATCATGTTTTTGTTATGGTATCCTGGAGTTTAACAGACTTGCAGGGAAAGACAGCCTTGCCTAAGGACCTTCCAAGCCGCCTTGGGCCTGGCTTAGTTTCCCTCCAGCTTCTTCTCTTTGAGACCACCTTCCACCTGCCATGTGTCTTTCTTCCAGAGCCGCTTGGACATGTACCTTTCTCAGGTATCGGGAACATCAGTGCAGACTCTGATTCACTGGTGGCAGGTAGGGACTGGGAAGGAAGCAATGGGATCGTAGGCCCTGGGTGATGATTCCCCGTCACTCTGAGTAGAGGAAGGACAATTTCCTCAGCCAGCTGGGGGCGTCAAAGTCTCCACCATTTGCCCCCACTGACCCTTCTAGCTTCATTTCACATTCTTCCACTCTCTCACTCTGTGCTCCAGCCAAACTGACCTGAGCTTCCAGTTTCACCTCCGGCCTCCGTGCACACATACCTAACCTGACCCCATGCCTGGAGTATGTTCCTTTGTCTTCTCTGCCTGGAACAAATTGTCATCCCTCCAAGGCTGCTCACTAACACCTGCTGTGTGAAGCCTCTTCTGTCCCTGTCCCCAGGCTTTCCACTCTCCCCATTGCAGGTGAACTTAGACACACTTAGCCACTCACTTGCTGCGTCCTGCCAGGAGCCTGGGCGTCTTGAGGCCTAGATCATTTTTGGGTTTAGCACGGGGATCCTGCATGCAGCCTTCACTTATTATAAGCTTGTTTAATAGGAACGGGACACATTAAGTGGCCTTTTCCAACTCATTCATTTGTCTGATGTGGGAGGTTTGGACCTTATTTGGTTCTTGGACCCCTCAGGCAGGCGAAGCCCGTGGGCCTCTTCTCAGAATCATGTTTAAAATGCATTAAATAAAATATATAGGAATATACAAAGGAAACTCATTATATAATGAAATACAGTTCTCAGAATATTAAAAGCAACACCACCACCACCACAAAGCATGAGTCACAGGTCAGAGCCTTTGCTCTGAGGAATTCTTTGACCATTCGTTGCTAGATGTTACAGTTTAGCTAATAAAGCCTTTGATGCTGGCCTGAGAAGGACACTGATGTGGGAACCGGGAGCTTCTCTATTGTTTACCGTCTCATTCCAGACTTTGAAAACCGGGCAGTTCCAAGCTTATGACTGGGGAAGCCCAGTCCAGAACAGGATGCGCTTTAACCAGGTATGTCTGCCGGAGCATTTTGGCACAGCCTCTTCTGGCTTGTGACATGCCAGATATGAGAAGTCAAGACCCCAAGTCTTTCTGTGGCTCTAGTCCTAAAAGATGTGATGTTCCAGACTAAAGCCTTTCTCCTCTAATCCCTCATCTCCGGCGAGGAGGGTGCCTTGGACTCTGCAGGATTCTGCCAGCTGATCCGAGCAGAAGGGAGAACAGGTGCTAAATAAGTGAAAGGCTCTGACCCAGAAAGAGACTGACTCCAGTCTGTCAGCCAAGCAAAAGCTGGAAAGCCTCATCATCAATCTGACCTCATGCTGAGGCACTTTTTTGACCAAAGTGATTTTCAAGTACAATTGCCAAACAGTTACTATCAACATTACTCTGTGTGTGTGTGTGTGTGTGTGTGTGTGTGTGTGTGTGTGTGTGATTTTATTCTCCACTGCCTTATGTAGCACAGTGTCTGGTACACAGTAGGTGCTTAATGAATGCTTATTGATTGATTGTTATCCATACTGACGAGATCTTGCAATTAGGAGAAGAATGGAACCCTATTAGGCCCTAGGGCTATCCCAAGCAAGATTTGACTGGCCCCCTCCCACTAACTTCCTCAGTGCCATTCTGTCTCTACATCCTACTTATACCTCCTAAATTCAGCGTCTTCATTCTCTTCCCTGGCTTTCTTAACTTGGTCTGGCCCACGCTGTTCCTTTCAGGTCTCCCCTTGCTTCTTGGTACCTTGCCAAATTCTAGCCCCTCACTCCAAACTCTTCCCCGTCTCTTCAGGTCTTCCTCTCTGCGTTGCATGGCTAAAATCAAGGAATTTGATAAATGGCCACATTCTGATGAGTTAAATTTGTTAATTGTACCCTTTGTAGGAGGTGGGCTAGTAGACTGACTGTCCAGAGAGCTGACTGAGGGGTCAGAGAAATCTGGCTTGTGCTTCTGCCTCTGACTCACCTTCTGGTTGTATAACCAAAGGCAAATCACATTATCCCTCAGTGTCCCAGGCAACAATTTATGACCATAAGTCCCAGAGCTGGTGCTGATCTGGCTTGGTAGATAGAATTTCTTGTCTGGCAGTTGTGGATACCAATGAAACCACAAATCTGTTTCAAAAAATAAGGGACCAAAAGAGACTTGTTGAATTACTGAATGAAGTTAAGGGAAGAAGTTGATGAGCTATGGATCTCTGGGCCTCAGCTCTCTCATCTATAAAATAAGAGGGTTGGATTTGACCATTTCTAAGATGTCCAGCTCAGAATCAATGATCTTGAGGTCCCATGACTGCCTGGGTGTTCCTCTCTTTCCAGAAGAGAAGAATCAATAGCATTCCTAAAGCTCTTTAAGGTTTGCAAAGCACTGTACCCATTTGAGCCCCCCAACCCCTTGTGAGATGGACACTGCAGATAATATAATCCCCATTTTACAGAGGAATCAACTCTGTGGTACCCAAACTGGTAAGCACTGGAGAAAATAAGGGAACCTAGGTTTCTCCTGACTTGAAGCCAAGCACTCTCTCCTCCACCACTGGGGCCTCCATAGCTCATACTCACTTCAATACTGATCTTCTGCACGTAATTCCCTCCCTTTAAAAAAAAAATTGAACCCAGGGACATGGCATGGATGGTAGGCATGTCAAGATCAGCGTAAGAGATAGGTAGATGTGTCTGAAGGACAAACATGGCAAGGATTGGAGCCAGGAGTTTCTTCCAAATTTTCTTTCTGACCCAGTCATAAAGTACCACTGGAGACGGGCATAGGAGAGAAGAGAGAGAATTCTCCTGAAGCAATCTGTTTACTTCAAGCCTTCAAGGAACTGATATTCAACCAATGGGGCTTCTCTTTCCACTCAAGCAGACCTTACAAACCTCTGTATAAAGACCGAGTAGAGTTTTGGAAACCGACACAAAGGATCCGACTCCCTTTAATCAGTGTGGAATAAGATTTTTCAGAGCTTGTGTGAAGTATCGCCTATATGGAGAGGTAGTTCAGTGCAGTGCTTGGGGTCTGGATGTGGAATTTGGAAGATCTGGGTTCATATCCTTTGGAATTTAGCTGTTGAAACCTGGGCGAGTCTGTAGAACTCAATTTCCACCTGTGTCAAAAGTTGGTGTGAGAAAAGATGCTGCCTATAATGTACTTTACCAACTTTGAAGTGCTTAGCACAGTGTCTGGCACATATGAGGTGCTTAATCAATGTTTATTGACTGACGTGATACATAAATGTCAATGGTTGTTATCCACTGTTGGCATAAATGATGGACATAATTCTCCTACTCATTTTTTAGAAGCTTACATACCAATCAGTGCTTGAGATATTACCATAGGGCAAGGGTTCTTAACTTGCAGCCCACGAACATTTTCTTTTATTTAAAATTTTTGAGAACTGTTATTTCAATCTACTTGGTTTTCTTCGTCATCCAATATATTTTAATTTTTGTATTTAAAGACATGATTCTGAGGACTGCATAGATTTCATCAGTCTGCCCAACGGCTCTAGGACACTCACAAAGGTTCAGAACCCTGCCCTGGAGGATTAATGTTGGATTGGTCCCCAAAGGTCCTATTGAAAGTGTTCATTTATCCTCTTTTTGCCCCCAGACCACACCTCCCTTTTATAGAGCAGAGGACATGACAGTGCCTGCTTTCCTGTGGAGTGGGGGGAATGACCGGTTGTCCTCTCCCAAAGATGTGGAAGATTTGCTCCATCAGCTCCCCAACCTCATGTACCACAAGATGATTCCTTCCTATAACCATCTGGATTTTATCTGGGGCATGGATGCCCCAGAACAGATTTACAATGAACTCATTGAGATGATGAAGCAAAACGTGTCCAGCTTCCCAGTGATGGGAAAGAGTTAAGTTCTCCCTTGCCATTGACTGTTCCTACATTGGACATTGGGGCACACATGCTGTCTTTTTTGGAATACTCCAGACTCAGTGCTGTTGTTCATCCATGAATAAATAAAACTATAGAAACAATCCATTGCCAACTGCCTTTTCATCAGTCATTTTTAGTCTTAGAGAGTTTAATTTTCTTCTTGGCATTTGCAGGAACAGCTGTGGCATAATGGCTAAATAACTGGCCTTGGAGCCAGGAAGACCTGGGTTCAAATCTTCTCTCCGAAAATGCTTCCTGTATGACCCTGGGCAAGTCATTTAACTTCAGTCATCCTAAGGCCAGTAAGTGCCAACTTGTACCAATGGAGGGAGTTCCCTCTGTCATTGAAATCACAAATTTGGTTCCTGTCCTCCTATTTGCTGAGGAAACATGAAGTCAGTAGTAGAAATGCCCAGTTCTGAGGAGAAAACCCCAGCCCTCTAAATTTTCAGCTGAAACCCAGATGATAAAAGACTTGAGAAGAAGATTTATCTCAGAGAGTAAGCTAATGTTTCACTGCTATCCCTGTTGGGTCATGAAGCTTCAAGATGTACTTCTGTCCCTGCTAAAAATATCAAAAAGGCACTAGGCCTATAGCAGCTGCTTACTGCCTTCTTTCCCTGGGCCAGAGTTCCTTAATCAAATGAGCTAATATTATAAAGATCTTAGCACAGTATTTGACCTATAAGAGACACTATATACATGCTTATTCCCCTCCCTTCCCCTTAATCCCTAAATATGAACCTTTTGGAAAATAAAGCCTAGATATTAATTAGCTAACTCCACTAAAGGGTAGCCAGTAGTAACTGTTCATGTTCATGGCTTCATTGATCACCGTACATTTTTTAAAAATTTGTTGAATATTTTCCAATCACATGTAAAAAAAATTTAACATTTAAAAAAAATTGAATCCCAAATTCTCTCCTTCCCTCTTACCTTTTGAGAAGGCAAGCAATAGGATATTGATTACATATGTGGAATCGAGCAAAACATCGTTCCATATTGGACTTGTTGCAAAAGAAAACACACACAAATGTGAGAAAAATAAAGTAAAAAAAATCCTGGTATGCTTCAGTCTGCACTCAGAGTTCAGCCGTCCTCTCTCTGGAGGTGGAGAACATTTATCATTATGGGTCCTTTTGAGTTGTGTTGCATCGTTGTTTTGACTAGAGCGGCTAAGTCTTTCACAGCTGATCATCTTTACAATATTGTTGTTGCTGTGTACAATGTTCTTCTGCTTCTGCTCACTTCACTTTGCATCAGTTCATATAAGTCTTCCAAGGTTTTTCTGAAACCATCCTGCTCATCATTTCTTATAGCACAATAGGATTCCACATTGATCCCCTCTTGTTGATGTCAATGATTTCTAAACCCTCTGTCTATGCCTCTGACATCTAACCTGACCTCTGGGATTATACTTTGAGAGATCTCCACTATGGCTCCGTTTGGATGTTATTCCCTCCCATAAAAATCATCCTGTCTCAAATTGAGACGATTGTTTTACCCCCCCCCCAATAACTACCTTCTTGTCTTCAACTCCCCAACATCTGTCAAAGACTTAAAAACTTCGTGTCTTCACCTGTATATCCTCTATTCATCTATCAAAAAGTCCTTTTGCTTCTTCATTTAAAATACTTCTTGGACTCATCACTGATTCTTCGTTATCATGCACCCTCCACCCAGTTCAGTGCCTCACCCTCTTTTACCTAAATTGCTATAGTGGCTGCCTACCTCCAGCCTCTCCCCTCCATTCTACCTTTCAAGTTGCTACCAGACCAAACTGAAAACAGCCAAATTTGCAGGTCATTTCTGTGTTTTAAAAACCTGAAATCTCCATAACACCCTCTGAGTTAAGGTTGCTGGTGAGGATTTCCCTTTATCCAGAACAACTAGCCCTATAATAAAAGTAACTGGCAGAGATGTGGTGCTTTGGGTCAGCATGAACTGACCCAAATCAATTGAAGACCTTTTCCCTTCTCTGTCCAGTGAGTGCTTTGTCCAAGAGTTCCAAGGATTCTGTAAAGCTGTCTCCTTGAGCAATACCCTTTGCTGAGAAGAGCTATTACACCTCCCTGGAGAAGTTCCCTTCTGCCACCAGAGTTTGGGGGCACCCTTTAGAGCCCTCTCTTCCCAGTAACAATGGCGTTCAAATAAATGGATCCTTTTCTAGAAGATGCTTAGTTTCTGTGCCCAAAAAGTGCTCTCTTTGTGAACAGCTTCTGATTGATGGAAACACTTCCTCCTCCAAATAGAATAGAGTAGACGTACAATTTACAGCAGCAAATAAATATAATAATCTTGTATTTGACAAGTACAAAGACAAGATTTGGGAATAAGAATTCATTATTTGGTAAAAATTGCTGAGAAAACTGGAAAGCAGTATGGCAGAAACTGGACAAAGACCAGTATCTTATACCTCCTTTCTTTCAAGCTATCTTAGTAATGGTGACGGTTTTAAGAATACTGATAACACTTCCATATATACATACATATATATGTATGTATATATGTATGTATGTATGTATGTATGTATGTAAAAGTCAGCAGTTTGATCTTAATAAGTACCTTACAATTAGTTTTTAATGTTTTTCTTTATTTCTTCTGGATCTTTTATATTGAATATTCCATTGAGTTCTGGTCTTTTTGTTGCAATTACCTGAATGTCTTTCAGTTCATCAAATGTCCTTTTTTTTTCATTCAGGATTATATTCAACTTCCCTGGGTAAGTTATTTTTGGATGCAACCCCACCTCTTTTGCTCTTTGAAATATAATGTTCCAAGACGCATGGTCTTTTAGTGTAGAAGCTGCTAGGTCTTGTAAAATATTGACTCTATTTCCACAGTATTTAAATTTTTTTTCTCATTTCTTGCAATATTTTCTCCTTAACCTGGGAGTTTTCAAATTTGGTTATGACATTTCTGTAAGTTTTCCTCCTAGGATCTCTTTCAAGTGGTGAATGGTAGATTTTTTTCTATTTCTACTTTACCCTCTTGTTCTAGAAACTTCAGGGCAATTTTCCTTAATTATTATTATTGTTATTTTTTAGGCAATTGGGGTTAAATGACTTGCCCAGGGTCACACAGCTAGTAAGTGTCAAGTGTTTGGTCTGAGGCTGGATTTGAACTCAAGTACTCCTGACTTCAGGGCCAGTGCTCTATCTGCCCCCACTTATTTCTTGTAATATTATATCCAGATTCTTTTTTATCGTAACTTTCAGGTAGTCTGACAATTCTTATATTGTCTCTCCTTGATCTGTTCTCCAGATTAGTTGTTTTCCTAATAAGATGTTTTAAATTCTCTTTTATTTTCTCTAGTTTTGTTATTTCTTGCTGTCTTACAGTGTTATTTCATTCCTCTTTCCAAATTCTAGTGTTCAAGGAGTTATTTTCTTCCTTAAGATTTTATAGCTTTTTTTCCAATGGTTAATTTTCTTTTCATAATATTCTATTTTTTCCTATTTTTCCTCAATCTCTCTTATTGGATTTTTGAATCCCTTTTTAAGTTCTTCCAAGAATTCTTTTTGGGCTTGTGACCATTTGACATTACTCCTTAGGGTAGATGTGGCTTTTTTTTTTTAACCTCACTATCTTCCTCTGAAAATGAACACTCGTGCACACAGAAGAGTTTGCCTTGGCAGTGAGAAGGACCATATTTTCATGGGAGATGGGGTGAAGGAGATGGAGTAATGAGAAATGAGGAGGAGGGGGAGAAAAGAGGAAGCTCTAAGCAAATGGCCTCAATTTTTTTTCCAGTGAAATACAAGGCAAGGTTCTCAGCTGAGAGAATGGATGAAGAACGAGTTATAGAAGGTTTGATGAGGGATCAAAAGATTTAGAAAAGCCTCTGTGAGTGAGATGGTGAGTCAATTAGGGAGGTGTCAAATGATTGTTTTGCCACGGTGAGGACCAGCTGAGATTATGCAGCATCAATCTGTAGTGGACTCCGGCAGCAGTATGGTTTCCTGAGTTTCTCTTGAGCAAAGGCAGCAGATGATGGAAGGAATCCAAGGTGGAGGCATGGCAGAGCAAGACAAGTGATAGGACAAGGGGACAAAGGTCTTGAGAGAAGAGGACAATGTAGAGGAATCAACCTGAGGAAGAGGAAGAAAGTGTAGCCAATGCAAGTAGGAAGGACTGAGAAAGGACCAGGATGTTCATGGTTTGGAGGTCCTGGTGAGGACGAGGAAGAGGGTCTGGGGCTGGAAGACAGAGGGAAAGGGGAACGACAGGAGATTGTGATGAGATAAAGAATTTCAGAGTCCACGAGCATGGAAGTGGTGCATCTGCAGATGAGGGAAGATCAAAGGTATGCCCATCCCTGGATGTAGCTTGGTGCTGTGCCCCTGAAAAGCAAAACAAGAGCAGATGCCACCTGCATGCACACATCTCTATGACGTGTGCAAACACACAGAAAAGGGAAGAGTCACAGGGAGGCGAGCTCAGCATTCAAAATCTCCATAGCAGGCAGCACCTGAGCTTGCAACTGACCGTCCTCATGCCTCCCCCTTGTATTGGTGTACGTCACGTGGTGAGGATCAGCGGTTAGCCCCAAATCCCCCACTCCTGGGCCTGTGTGGGATATAAACAATTCGGCACAGGTTTTCTAGCCTCCTGAGCCAGTTTGTCTCCGGGTTCTTTTGTTTGTTCGTTTTTGTTTGCTTTTTTTCTGGAAAGCATTGCCTGGACATTACTCCGACTCTGGGATCTCTTCACACTCTCTTCTCTTATACTTAGACTCCCACTCATCACAGCCAGTATCTCTTCTTCCATGTTCTAGCATTCACTCTTAAGTAGACTGCCTTTCAACCACACTTTGTCATACACACATACATATATATGTACATATATATGTATGTATGTACACATTATAAGTATTTGTGTATACCTATCTCTATATATCAGCCCTCTAACTACTATAGGAGCCTACTAAGTACTACCCCTTCATTTCTGCTTTTAAATGTTAATCATATAGTATTAATTTTAGTGCCATTGATAAAAATCCTTGGTCCCCCAAATTCAGCTATACTTAGCCAAAATCTCAAAGTCAAATTGGATAATGACCCAATGTTCTTCCTCTCTAATGTCTAATTACTCATAAGTCTCATCTGTCTTTCTTTTTTAGAAGATAATTAAGTTTGGGGAGAACTTGAGATCCTCTGAACCTAAGATTAGATAGAGATCTGTCTTTCAGGGTGGACCTTCCAACATTATCATCACCATGACTCTGTTAATGAGTCCAAAACTCTACCCAGGACTTTGTACCTTTGCTTAATTTGGCAAAATTTTGTCTTTGTTTTTGAATTTTATAAACATGTGTGAAGACCTGCCCTGGGAGGAAAGGATTTCAATTAGCTGAGGAAAGTCCTCTTTGAATATTTCTCTAGGCAGTGTGTTTGTAGTATACATATACATGTATATGTATTTATAGATGTATATTTATATGTGTATATACATGTGCAGACATGTAATATCTGTAACAGACTTGACACCAAGAAATGTAGAGTCCTATGTTGTTTTTTCATGCTAATTAGCAGTGCCTTTCAATAGCACATTGAAAGCAATCACTGCCCTTTTCCTGGGCCCTCCCAAGTACAAGAACTAGAAAGCAAGTCTTCCCATACACCCAAAAGCATCTGTGAATTTCCCTTCTCTTCCAGCTCAGCTGTGGCTCCAGGGTGGGGGGGGGGTTGGGGGGAGAGAGAGAGAAACCTACAAAGTATTTAAGTTTGCATATTTTTCTTTATCGTGTTAATTACTTCATAGAAAACTTGTTGAGATGCATCCATTCCCAGGCAAAAGTCCATGTGATTGTAGTGGGGAATTCTCTTATGGTAAATGAGGGTAGAGATATTGGGGAGCAAACTGTCTACATCTAAGGGGTCAGCCACCGCATCTTCTCCACCGCTCCACAGCATGGTTGGCACCATCATTGGTGTCACATTGTATAAAGGAGGAGTGACCTGAATGCAATTAAAAGGGGGAAAATGTTTTCTCTGTGAACCACATGGTAGGAGAAACCTTTCCTAGAAAGGTGAAACAATTCCTCCAGTGCTCCAAGGGTTACACAATCTTTATGAGAAAGACTATGTCCTTGGTGAGAATGATTGCATGTGTACCTATGTTGACAGCATAGATTACACTTATAAAAAGTGCTTTGACAACCATCATTCCAGCAAGAGCTGAAAAGCAGGCGTTGTTCCCTGGTTATCACCAAAGGAACACCAGAAATTGTCTTTAACACAAGTTGGGGTTTTTTTAATTACCCATTTCTGATAACCAGTTGCTGAAATGGAGACTAGCTTACCATTAGGGATACCAAACTGTAACTGGACCCTTCCTTGGTGTCAGGAAATAGTAGTTCAGAACTGCTAGAAATGCTAGTTCAGAATTTCTTGGATGCGTCCCTCAAGCAATGGATGAACTGCAGGTGTCCAGTCCCTTGAAGATTTCATGACTATATCCTCATTTGAGCAGAGAAACAATCATCCTTTCATAGATCTTTGCCCCCAGAATTGTTTCTTCTAGCTAGAGGCAAGAATCATAGGATCACAGAGAAGGAAGGGCCCTCATGAACCTTCTAATGCAACTCACATTGAAGCGGGAATCACCTGTGCTATATAATCATCAAGTGTCTGTGTGAAGCCCTTCAATGAGGAGGAACCCACCACCTCCTGAGGTAGACCATTGTGTTTTGCATCCTCTTCATTGTTGGGAAGTTTTCCCTTACATGAAGCAGATATCTTCCCTTAACCTTTCTCACTCCCTCCCTTTCCCCCACTTGTCTGCCAGCTCTTCTACCGACTCTTCTTATTTTTGCTTTCTGGTGGAAAGCTGAGAATCAAATCCTTCTTTCATGTAACAGCTTTAGAAATATGTGATGCTATCATGTCTCCACACCCCATGCCCTCTTTTCTCTAAGCTAAACATCCCCTGTTCCTTCAACTGATCCATTCTGTGGTAATAGTTCCAAGGTGTCCTTTTTGCTGGCTTACGCCATGACTGCTACTCATCATGGTCCTCCCCTGGAACATCTGGTTTTAGACTCAGAATTGAATGTGATCCCTTCAGGGCAACTCCTCCTGAGATTGGCAATATTGGCCAACTCAGATCCATGAAGTGCTTTAAGGTTGACAAAAGGCTTCCTTCATAAGAACCCTGAGAGGTAGATAGTGCCAGAATTACTGTATCCCTTTTACAGATGAGAAAGCCAAGCTCAGAGCTGTGGAGTCATTTTCCCACATGGTTAGTTAGTTAGGAAGTGCAGGAGCAGGCACTTTGACCTCAGGTCTTCTGATTTCAAGTGTGACTTCTTCCCCTTTCTGGAGGTCGTGGCTCTGCCCATCTTTGGACTCTTAGTTTTTGAAAATCTCAGAAGACTAAAGGAAGCTTGAGGGGCTATAAAGACAGATTTAGTCTACCCAGGTAATGTGCCCGGCTCAACCCACTGTGTCATAGAGAGACCTCATGGATGAAGGGAAACAGATTTGGAATCTCAAGAAGAGGGTTCATTCTCGGCTGTTCTAATTACTAGCTGTGTGACCATGGACAAATCATGTGCACACTCTGGACCTCTTCTATGAAGGAGAGGAATTAGACTACATGATCCCTAGGGTCCCTTTCCATTCTAAACCCCCCGATTACATAGGACACACAAACAAATTGCAAATGGCTTCTTTCTGTTCAATGGTATTGGTCTGAAATGGATCAGAGGCAGGGTCAATGCTACAGGAAAATCTGATGTTTGTTTGGGAACAGTCTTTCACAAATCCTGACCATGTCTGATGGCACATACCTGATTATAATGCACCATGTTCAGAGCTGGATCCTCCCAGTCAAATGCTTGTAACTGCCCAGAAGTGATGAGCTAGAATGAAGAGAAAAAGAATTCTCTGATTCACACACATAGAAGAGAGACAGTGCAGTATAATGGGTAGAGAGCTGGTCTCCAAGCCAAGAAAATGTGAGTTATTGTCCTGTCTCTGGCACACACTGACTCTGTGACTCTCAGCAGCTCTTTAGACTAGAGATAAACTGCTCAGAAGGTGCTGACCTTCACTGGGAGAAGGACCTTCCTCGCTGAGTATCTCACATCACTGAAATCACAGGCCTAGACCTCACTAGGCTCACAGCCTTGGTGTCATGCTTGAATCCTCTCTTGAACACCACATGTCAAGTCCATTACCAAATTCCATTCCATTCTCTGACTCTGCCTTTGCGTAAGTAGTCATCTCGCCCTTTCTAAAGTTGGCAATGACCAGTTGCCAAGCTAGTGACCTCTTCTCAAGCCTGATGTTCCTTGACCTACCTCCACAACACCTCTCCTGGAGATCCCCTTCTTTCCACTGATACAGCCACCACCCTAGTTCAGGCTCTTCTCACTTTGGCCTACAACACTAAAATGGTTTTCTAGCTTGTTCCTCTGCCTCAGGTCTCCCCTGACTCCACTCCAATGCATCCTTCCTTCTGCTGCCAATATGATTTTTCTAAAAAGTAACTCTGACTACTTCACCTTCCCTGCCCAGGGGACTTCAGTGGGCCCCCTATTTCCTCCTGGATCAAATATAAAATGCTTTGTTTAGCATTCACATTTCTTGATAACCGCCCCCTCCCACCTTTCCAGTCTTCTTGTAGCTTCCTCCCTACCACCTTGATCCAGTGACACTGATCTCCTGGCTTTTCCTCACACATGACACAACGGCTTTGCTCTACAAGCCTTTATACTGGCTGCCCCCCATACCTCTTTACCTTCACCTGTTTCTGGTCTCCTTTGGGACTCAGACCCCAAATCACCTTCTGTAGGAGGCCTTTCCTGGTGTCCCCAATGACTAATTGATTCCCTTTTTCAGCTTAGCTACATCTCCTGTGTCTATATCTTATATAGACTTAGACATCGGCATATTATCTCCCCCATTAGGTAGTGAGCTCCCTGGGGAAAGGAACTGTTTGTTGTTTTTCTTTGTATCCCCCGGAGCTTAGCAAGGTTCTTGGCATATAGAAGGACATATAAGATGTTTAATAAATGAGTCTCACCTGGCTGACCACTCTTTCTGGAATGTTCTACATCCTTGTTCTCCCACTGCCTTGAAGGAGCACAGCTGTAGTGCCACCTCCAACGAGAGGCCCTTTCTAATCTCCAGTTCTTCAGGCCCGCTTGCTCTCAAAATTACTTAGTATCGATATGTACTTTCTATTTGCTGACTTATGGAGACATTGTATCTCCCAGTAGAAGGCAAACTCCTTGAGGGCAAGCCCTATTGAGTTTCATGCCAAATGCCTAGCACAGGTCTGGTGATTACTAATGAATACTTTGTATCTGTAATGCCTTCCACAGCAACTAGAGCCTCATGAAATGTCTGTTGAATTGAACTAAATCTAGTAGAACCCTCTCACTTAAAAAAAATGTTCCGATGTCTTTTAAACACCACATTTCCTGATGTAGCCTCTGACATTCAACCCCCTTTTGCAAAAAGAAAAAGAGGTCAGCAGAACCAAGGGGTCAAATGCTCCCCTGTCTGACATTCTATGCAGTATTTTGGGACCATGGGCTCCCACCTCCTTACTGAGAAGAGGGAAGTGTTATCATATGTTCTCTCCAACCCCCCCTCCCCCAGCCACTGTGTAGAGGAGAAGATTGAAGCCTGGAGAGAGGGAAAGATCACACAGCTATTAAAGTAGGGAAAATTAAAATTAGCTAATAATAAGTCACGTTTATATAGTGTTTTTCTTTTTGAGGCCTATGTACTCTGTAAAGTGGGTAATGTAATTATTATAACCCCCATTTTATGGCTGAAGAAACAGCCTCAGAGAGGTTTGCTAAAGTGCTCCCAACCACATACTTATTAAGACAGCTCTGAGTTAGTAGCATTATCCTGATTATCCCCATTAAACTGAGCTTAAATGATTATTCAGAGTCACTCACACTATTAGCAAGAATAGGAATCAAAATTTGAACACAGATCTCAGTAAAGTTTCTTTCAAGATCAGGGCTCTTTCAAGTGTCGTGGGGCTGGTGACCTTCCCACAGAAATGCCAACCCTCCTTCACGAAGGCTCTTTGAGGACCCTAGAGCAGGAGGAGGGACCGGAAGTGGCAGGAATAAGCATTTTGGGATCAGTACCTGTGCCCAGTGGATCACATTCTGAACCGATGTTGCTCCGGGATAATTGGATATATAGACATCCAAGCGACTCTGGAAAAGAAAGCTATGTCTTTCTCATCTGATTACAAGTTGCTAACATGCTTGACTTAAAGGTAAAAAAAAAACCCCTCTAACTTAAGGCGTTAATTACAAAACCAAAAGATCAGGAGCTTAGTGATCATCTTAGCCCAACATCTCATTTTATAGAGAAGTAAAGTGAGGCACAGAGTTGGGAGGTGATTTGTCCAAGACCACACAGCTAATTAGCAACAGAGACGTGATTCATAGGATCATGATTTAGAAGCAAGTGGGCCTTTAGAGACCATCAAATTCAAGGGTTCTCTAAGCCTTTCTTATCTGATAGACTCCCTGAGCAGTCTGGTGAATTCTATCAACTACTCAAAGTAATGTCTTTAAATACACATAATAAAATATGCGGAATTAAAGAGGAAACAAATTATATTGAAATACAATTATCCAAAAAATGAAGTTTATGGCTCTCAGGTCAAACACCTCTCATCTAATCCAATGCCCCCATTTTACAGATGAAGAAACTGAGGCTCGCTGAGACAAAATGACCTGCTCCAAATCACAGGGATAATAAATGGCCGAGCAGGGATTCAAATAATCATAGATGTAGAGTCGGGAGGAGGAAAAGTGGTGGCAGCAGGAGGCCAGCAGGGGGTGCCATGAAACCAAACTCTGAGGAGAGAGAAAAGGAGAAAAAGTAGGGAGACATTGATTGAACTGGTGCGAAATCCATCGCACTCCCACAAGTCCTGGTCGTCTTGGCTCTTTTTTTCCATCCCTTCAAACAAAGCTCAACCTGCTGCTCCTTGGAGAAGGCTTGCTATGCCCAATTACCTCCAGGTGTCTGAGAGCTCACCCAGGTCTGGCTGTTTCTTTGTCAGTGGGAGAGTCCCCTTATTCCAAGGGAATAAGATTTTGGACAACTCCACTGAGCAGGGGATTTGGAATGGGGCTTTCCCAATATAGCAGCAGGTTGGCCTCTCCCTCAGACCAGCTGTCCTTTATTTATCCAACTTTAGGGTAACAAAACTTCCCTGAAATCATGTTCCAAGGATTCATCCTGTTTTCCTAGGACCCTGGGCTATGTCAGAAGTATTGGGCAACTGGCAGCTACTTCTAGAAACTCTGGGAGCCAAGCTGGGGTTGATATAAGGCAAACATCCCAGCTGCTCCCAAGTGGGATGGATGACCTCCATTCAGAACAGGTCTCCCCTTGCGGAAGACCTCAAGCACAGGCTGGAAGGCCATTTGTTGGATATATAGTTGAGGGGATGCTTGTTCATGTGTGGACTGGCCCAGGTGGTTTTGAGATCCCTTCCACATTGGATGGTCTGTGATTCCAGGATCGTAAGTGGGGAAGGTGCAGAGGCCAGGTCTGGGGAGAAATAGAATATTAACCAAGGACCAACCCTGCTCAGTGACAGGGTCTCATCACCAAAAGCTTGGCCACAAAGTTAGGAAGTGCTCGGCCACCTGAAGACAGCTATCTGATTGACCTTGAACGAGTTAACCTCTCTGGGTGGCAGCTTCCTCATCTGTAAAGTGAACAAAGTAGACAAAGGGGACCTTGAACGTTCCTTCCATTGCTGGATCTACGAGCCCACACGTGATGTTAGATAAGTCACCTCATCTACCTGGGCCTCAGTTTCCTTATCTGTAAAAATGAAGAGGTTGGGCTAGATGACCTTGAAGTTCTCTTTCAACATGAAATCTCCAATTCCATGAGCCTATAATCTAGTGAAGCCTGTCTGATAGGTTGAAAGTTGCTCCCACACCCACAGGTGTTTTTGGTGGCGTTGCTGCTGTTCTTTTTGGATGCATTAAATTAAAGAGAAGAAAATTAGCCCTGAGTATCGTTTCCAGATAATTCTAGTATAGCTAAGGAGAACTTGTTACTCAACCCTCCCCCAGGGGAAGGTGCCTCCACATACCTCATTTATGTTCCTATAGTCAGATCCATACGCGGCAAAGAATATGCCTTTACATAGCCAGTGAAAAATCCAGAGGTTGCACATCTTGGTTGCGAAGAACTGATTGAACTTGATTTGTGCAAAAATAGCTTTGTTGTGAAAAAGAACCTGCCAAAAGAATGGCAAACATATCCAGACTTCAATTCATATAAAAACATTTATTATGCACTTACTGTGTATTACGTGTATTATGCGGGCACCGTGCCTGGCACTGGAAATCGTAGGATCACAGACTCAGCGCTAAAAGCAATCTTGGCAGCTACTGAGTACAATGTCCTTCATTTACAGATGGAGAAATTGAGGCTCAGAGAGATTAAGTGACTTGCCCAATGTGTCACAGCCTCCAGCACAGTCCACACCCTCAAAGAATGCACATTCTAGCAGAGGTGGGGTGGAATAGCATACACACAGAAGAGGTAAATGCAAAATATATGAAGAGTGATTTGGTCTGGGAAATAAGTTAACAATTGGGGGATCAGGGGAGCTGAGCCATGAAGAAAAGAAGCCTTGAAGGGGAGAGGCAGAATTGTTCTGGAGAACTGATTGTTAAATTTTTAGTGTGAACATTAGCACCTTAGAAATCAGCAAATACTGCAAATCAGGGTCCAATTTATTGTTTTGTTCATTGTGAAACTTAAGAAAAAATAATAATAATTCAGACCAAACTTAGAAGTGTGTTATGGGCACATTACCTCGTCCAGTGGGTTGCTAAACATTTACCAACACACCTCTGGGCAGAAGTGAAGAAGGCATAGCCTGGGCAAAGTCACACAGGTAGGAGATGGGATGTTATAACCAAGGAACATTGAGGCAGCCCAATTCATCAGAAAAAAATAGAGTTATCTAAGACAGAGTAATGGGGGAAAGAGGGAGGAAATAAGCATTTATTAAGTGCCCACTATGTTCTAGGTGCTGTGCTAAGTGCTTTGCAAATATTACTGTTGTTGATCTTCAGAACTCTGTGGGGTAGGGACTATTATTCTTACTATTAACAATTGAGGAAACCAAGGCAGACAGAGCTTAAGTGACTTTCTGAGGGTAAGTGTCTGAGGCTGTATTTGAACTCAAGTCTCCCTGACTCCAGGCACAGGATTCTATCCACTGCACCATCGAACTGCCAGGGAATAAATCTGGAGATATAGGCTGAAGGTAGATTGTGAAAGGCTTTAAATACCAAACAGAAAATTTTATATTTGATCATAGAGGCAAGAAAGAGCTAATGAAGCTTCTTGAGCAGAGATGGGGCATGTTCATCCCTCTGCACTAGGAATCTCAATTTAGCAGCTGGGTGGAGAGGGAAGAAATTGGAGGAGAGGAGGTCTTTACAATCTGGTCTTTCTGATTCATTTAGATTGGGGCCTGCCTGACACTAACAAATGTTAGGTGTGGATGAGAGAGGTGAACTAAACCAAATGGTGATGTGGAAGGAGATTGCCTTGGCAGCCCCACTCCCCATTTCATTGTCCATCACTCCCTTCTCATCTTCATAAGGCTGGCAAGGATTTAGGAGTGTATCCCTGTATCATTTACATCTTAATAAAGGATTCTCGTTGGTTCTAGAGATTAAAGTGGTTTTTGAGAGTATCTCGTAGTCTAACTGCTGCACTTTACAGAACAGGAAACTGAGGCTGAGGAGAAATGACTTGCCTTAAATCACATAAGAAATTAGTAGCAATTCTGTCTAAGGCCACGTGCTCATTTTGGAGTCAGGACCACATGGGCAAGACACTGTGGAGTTTGGGATGTGGCGTCAAAAGGATGGCACAACCTGAGTTTGGGCAAGATAGGCTGAAGGGTCAGGCTGCGTGATGGGGTCATAGTATTTCCATTCCAGAAGGAGCTTGGGGTGGCTGGTCCAAATCCTTTATGATGTAGATGAAAAACCTGGGGTCTGGCAAGGGAAAGTGACTTGCCTGAGGTCACACAGGACTATAGGACATCACAGCTAGAGGGGTCTTAGGGAGCACTGGTCAGCATGCCTCATGTTTTTTTCAGGGCAGAAAACTGAAGGTCAAAGAAGGAAGCAGAGAGAGAAGTCATAAGACCCTTGGGTCTCAACAAGTCCACAGCTCTTTCTATCCCACTATTCTTCCATCCTCTCCCACCCAATGTCACAAGGCCTTTTCTCCAATAGAATATAAGCTCTTTAAAGGCCTGAGCTGAATTGTTTTCCTGTTTCTGTACTTCCAGTGCCTGGCACACAGCTGATGCTCAATAAATGCTTGTTGTCATTAAATATGTCCAGGAATAGGGAGAATGCAGCCTCTTGGGGAAGAGAAGGAGGGATGGAGACAGAGGTCTCAGAGACTGGGGGAGAGGAGCTGGCCAGCCTCCCCTCCATTCCAAGGTTGAGCGAGGCGTGTGGGCTTCAAGTTTCACTTCCTTCTTGCCAATGGAACTGCTGCTGGACTGTCCATGGTCCTGACTAGCCTGATCCCTGAGCTCAACCACCTCTGGAATATTTCTCCTGAGGGAGGCTTCCTCCACTCTAGGGGAACAATGTTAAGGACAATGACAATAATGTTAATTATATTGTATTGTTCCACACTGTATAATGTTTTACATTGTATAATGCAGAACAGAAGTCTGTATGCAACATTTGTCAATCTGCCCAAGGCCTTTGATATTGTTAGTCATGAAGACTTGTGGAAGATCATGGCAAAATTTGGTTGCCTGGCAAAATTAATGCATATTGTACACCGGTTCCATGATGGCATGCTTGCCTGGGATCTGGATGATGGACGATGCTCTTGTGCTTTCCCAGTCACCAATGGAGTGAAGCAAGGCTGTGTCTTGCTCCCATGTTTTTTAGCATGTTTTCTGTCAGATGTTTTCAATAAGGATGAAAATGGCAGCAAGGTCAGCTACCACACTGACAGTAAATTATTTAACTTGAAAAGTGTGTATAAGCCAAGACTAACACAGAGGAAGAGTTAGTGCATGACTTTCTTGTTCGCAGAGGACTGTGCACTCAATGCACCCTCTGACGCTGAGATGCAATGTATCTATTCTCTGCCACTTGTGCTAATTTTGGCCTGGCAATTAACACCAAGAAAACAAAGGTTCTTCACCAGCCAGTACCACACCATTCATATATGGAATCATCAGTTATAGAAAGTGGGGAAATTTTGAATGCTGCGGATAAGTTCCCTTACCTTTCCAAGGATTTCTACATAGATGATGAGGTTGACGCATGTGTTGCCAGAGCTAGCTCAGTGATTGGGAGGCTCCAAAGGAGAATGTGGGAGAGAAGAGGTATCAGGCTGTCTACCAAACTGAAAGTCTACAGAGCTGTTGTGCTGACATCAGTCTTATGCCTATAAATCCTGTACAGTATACCAACATCATGCCAGGAAACTGAATCTCTTCCATTTGAAATTTCTTAATAATATTCTGAAGATCACCTGGCAAGATAAGGTACTGGACACCGATGTCTTTTCTCAAGCTGAACTGTTGAGCACTTGAACTCTATTGCAGAGAGAGCAGCTCTGATGGGCTGGCTATGTTGTTCAAATGCCAAACATAAACTTGCCTGAAAGACTATTTTACAGAGAACCCACACAAGCCAGGTGCTCACGTGGAGGCCAGAAGAAGCAATACAGGGCACTCCCAAGGTCTCTCTGAAGAACTTTGGAATAACGTGTGAGACATGGGAGATACTGCCACAGCACTGCCTAGCATGGTGCGCCCTCATCGAAGAAGGGATTGTGCTCTATGAGCAAAGCAGAATCTTAGTAGCTAAAACAAAACAAAACAAAACACGAGATGCACAATTTAGAGCCATCTCAACTCCAAGTGTTCATGTGGACTCTTTGCACCTAACCTGTGGTAGCGCCTTCCAAGCTTGTATTGGGCTGATCACAGTTGGACAAACTGGACCTTGCCCTTGACAGAGTGATGTTGTTTTGGTCCCCTTTGAGCATGAAGGATAACAACCAATGATAATGTATCATATCGTAAAATAGCACCTGCCTTCACAAAATATTTCTGCCCCAATGCAGTTTCTTCTTGGACTTGTTTACCCATCAATGCTGGTTTGCACCGTAGGGCTTTTCGGACTCTCCTGCCCAAGGACCTCCAAAGTCCAATGACTAGTAATGAACTTCTAAGGGAACAGAATGGACCAGTGTCTGATGACTATGAATGAGGAACATATTGGGTAAGGGAGGAGGGGTTTGAGTTGGCCCATGAGACAGCCTCCTAACCCCAATACAGAGTGAATGAGGAGGCAATGCCCTCATCTTATTCTCCTCTTGTGTGCCTGGAGCTGCTCACTAGACCAGTGGCGTAACTTGATGCAGGGATTGATAATATTTCCTCCATTCGTTGAGTGATACAAAGTTGCCTGGCATGAAGAATTCATGCACATGGTGGTCAGTTGAGTATCTTGTTTATGGAGCTTCAGGTGTGGATAGAGGGAGGCAAGCTTGCCATACTAGGGCATAGATGAGAAAGATTAGATCAGGAACCCTGGGTGAGGCAACAGGAATGTTTTGCTCTTATTAGCATTGCTGTACAGACTAGGGAGGTATCAAAGGGCAGAGCAGTGAGTAGGTCAGGATTCAGGAGACAAACTATGGTCAACAAGGGATAGATAAATGGGTCAGGAACTGGGGAGACAGATAAGAAAGTCTCAGTGCATTGGGTTCAGTCATGGAACCCCAGCTCTCAGAACTGGGAGGGGCCTCAGAAGTATCTAGTCCAACCTGTACCTTACCAAGAATCTCCTCTATAGAATTTCCATGAAGTGGACATCTGGGCTTTGCTGGAAGGCCTCCAGAGACCATAGAACTCATCACCTCCTGTAGCAGCCCACTCCACTGCGGGCATAGCTTCAATTATCAGAAAGCTGAAATTTGTCTCTTTGTAATCTCTGCCCATTCTTCCTAGCCCTGGCAGCCAAGGGGAACACATGGGATTCCTCTTCCATGTGACAGTATCTCAGTTCTCTTCAAATACTTCACATCTCCCCTGTGTCTTTTCTTCTTCAGGTTTGCTAGTTCCCAGATTAGATATATCTGCATGGTGTGATATTGCCTATTTGGGGGGGGGTAAGAGGAAGGTGTGAATGGGTAGAAGCTAAGTGACTTGCTGAGGATGGGACCCTGAAATACCAGGGCCAGGGATGGGGAACAAATGGAGGAGGCAGAAAGGGAGGGTCACTAAAGGTAAGGTCAGGATTTAAGAATAGGAAGGGATTTGAAAGGCCATCTGGGCTCCTTCCCTCATTGAGCAGAGACTGTGTGATGTCCAGGAAAGGAATGAATTTGGAGTCAGCGGAGACTGAGCTGAGTTTCCTCATGAAAGGAGAAAAAAATCTGGGACGTTGCTCAAATCGTTGTAAGAATCCATTGAAATAATCCACGTAAAGTGCTTTTCAAAGCTTCAGGTGACATAGAAAGATTAGCAAACGCTATCAGATGTTCGTTGTTGTCTGTACTCAAAGTAGACCAAAATGACATCAATATGTCAGGGGCGAGGGGCAGTGTGTCCACCTGTGGCTGATCAGCCCAATACAAGCTTGGAAGGCTCTACCACAGGTTGGGCACGAAGAGTCCACATGAACACTGGAGTGGAGATGGCGCTAAATTTGCTCATCTCATGTTTCTTTTGAGCTGCTAAAATTCTGCTTTGCTCATAGAGCTCAGAGCCTTCTTTGATGCAAGCACACTATGCTGGGCATTCCTGTGACAGTGTCTCTCATGTCTCACCATCAATTCCATAGTTCTTCAGAGAGACATTGAGAGTGTCCTTGTATCACCACTTCAGACCTCTGTGTGAACATCTGCCTTGTGCGAGTTCTCTGTAAAATAATCTTTTAGACAAACATATGTTTGGCATTTGAACAACATAGACAGGCCATCAGAGCTGCTCTCTCTGCAGTAGAGCTTAAATGCTTGGCAGTTCAGTTCAAGAAAAGACCTCAGTGTCCAGTACCTTATCTTGCCAGGTGATCTTCAGAATCTTATTAAGACAATTCAAATGGAAGAGTTTCAGTTTCCTGGCATGATGTTGGTATACTGCACAGGATTTACAGGCATAAGACAATGAGGTCTGCACAATAGCTCTGTAGACCTTCAGTTCGGTAGACAGCCCGATACCTCTTCTCTCCTACATTCTCCTTTGGAGCCTTCCAATCTCTGAGCTAGCTCTGGGATTGCATGTGTCAACCTCATCGTCTCTGTAGACATCCCTGGAAAGCATACTGTCAAGGTAAGGGAACTTATCCACGGCATTCAAAATTTCTCCGTTTTCTGGTAACTGACGATTCCACATATGGATGGCGTGGTACTGGCTGATGAAGATCCTTTGTTTTCTTGATGTTAATTGCCAGGCCAAAATTAGCACAAGTGGCAGAGAATAGATGCATCGCATCTCAGCATCAGAGGCTGCATTGAGTGCACAATCCTCTGCAAACAAAAAAGTCATGTACTAACTCTCCTTCCTCTTCTGTCTTGGCTTGTACTCTTCAAGTTAAATAATTTACCGTCAGTGTGGTGGCTGACCTTGCTGCCGCTTTCATCCTTATTGAAGGCATCTGACACCACCACTAAAAACATCATGCTCAAATCATGGGAGCAGGACGCAGCCCTGCTTCACCCCATTGGTGATGGGAAAGCAGAAGAACATCATCCATTACCCAGACCCCAGGCAAGCACGCCATCATGGAGCCGGTGTACAATACTGATGAACTTCTCTGGGAACCCTAATTTTGCCGTGGTCTTCCATGAGCCCTGGTAACTAACAGTATCAAAAGCCTTGGTCAGATCGACAGATGTTGTGTCCAGACCTCTGTTCTGCTCCTGCCATTGTCAGGAGTTGTCAGGCAGCAGAGACCATGTTGACCATTCCTTGGTTCATTCTGAAGCCACACTGGCTCTAGGGTAGATGATCAGTCTATTAAGGAAGACTCTGGCAAGAATCTTGCCAGCAAGGACTAAGAGAACCCCATCTGTGATTATGATAGGACAACCTCTTTTCTTTTCCTTTATAGAGATGGACAATGAAGGCATCCTTGAACTCCTGGGGGATAACCTCATCTTGCCATATATCCCAGAAAATTTCCATCAGTTTTTGTGTGAGCGGTGGACACCCTGCCTTGTAAATCTCAGCTGGAATAGAATCAACACCAAGCACCTTGCCACATGAGAGGAGCCTAATGGCACTCAAAAACTCTTCTTCAGTTGGAAGTTTGGCTACAGAGGGCTTGACTTCAACTTGAGGCATAAGGTCAGTGGCTTCAGCATTGGTTGATGACAGTCTGTTGAGAATGGTATGGAAGTGTTCAGCCCATCTCTCCAAGATCATGTTCTTCTCACTAATTACTGTGGTTCTATTAGCACTGAGTAGTTGAGGTGCACCATAGGCCTTTGACATATAAATAGCCTTCAGGTAATCATAAAAGTGCTTTGGATTGCTGCTATCAGTGCAAAACTGAATTTCTTCTGCCTTCTTATTGAGCCAAGAATCTTGCATCTCTCTAAGCTTTGTTTGCACTTTACTTTTCATAGAGTTAAAGGCTCCCTTTTTAGATGTGGGTGAACTATCCTATTGGTAAACCCTTGGAGTTCTCATTTCTTTTTTGTTTAGCAGCTTCTGAATTTCTCCATCATTTTCAACAAACCAGTCTGTATCTTTGAGGGTGTTCTGGCCCAAATGAGTAAATGCGGTGCTGTACACCAAACCTCGGAAATCTGCCCACTCCGTTTTTGCTCCACTGTAGCCAACTACGTGTTGACTCAGTTTTCCCTCCAACTTAGCGCAACAAACTGCTTCGAGAAGCTCTCTTATCTGTTGACAGTAAGTCTTGTGGTAGTCATCTTGCCTTGTGGACACCACATTTATTGAATGTGAATCTTCAGCTTGGAAAGGATGTCTTTGATTGGTATAGTAGTCCTTGCCACGTATTGCCTTCATCACTTTCACACCCTGTCAATCTCTTCTCCTTATAATGACATAGTCTATTAAATGCCAATGTTTGCTTCAAGAGTATTGTGTTTAGGTAAATGGAAGACAGTGTTGGCAATGAGAAAGTCATGGGATGTACAAGTCTTCAGTAGTAACTGACTATTGCCGATACTGCTTCCAGACCCATTCCTCTCAAGGGCTCCCTGCCACGTCTTATAGTTGTACCTACTCCGGTGTCAAAGTCACCCAGAATTATAAGCTTGTCCTCTTTCCACACATTGATGATGAGGGTCTCCAGGTCTTCAGAAATTTTTCTTTGGCCTCATCAGGATTCATCACAGAGAGAGCCTTTGCACTGATGATGGTGGTGTGTTACTTTCCTGCAAGTGGAATGCTATCATAGCAGGTGGTGTAATGAATAAAATGCTAAACCTGGAGTCAGGAAGACCTGAGTTCAAATCCTGCCTCATGCATTTACTTAGCTGTGTCACTTGATCTCTATCTGCCTCAGTTTCCTCATTTGTAAAATAGAGATAAAGTAGCACCTACTTCCAAGGGTTGTTATGAGGATCAAATGAGATAATATGTGTATGACATTTTTAAACTGCTTTGAAAAGCTCCAAAGTGCTATATAAATGCTATCATCATCATTATTGATGAAGATAAGGAGGCTCAGAGAAGATACATGATTCACCCAATGTAACATAGCTTGCAAATAGAGAAACTGAGGAAAGGGAATTGAAAACAAAATCATGAGGTGCCTTTGTTTGAATCTGGGATCTGACACTTATTTTTGTAAGACCAAATAAATCTCTTTAATTTCTCAGAGCCTCAATTTCTTCATCTGTGAACAGGGTCAATATTACTGGTATTACTTGCTACCCCAAAGGAAGGCTTTTCTTGGAGGAAGCCATTTGTGGGAGAAGCCTTATGGGAATGCTAAAAGAAATGTGACTAAAAAGCAAGTGAAGAATTCAAACCCATCTCTTCTAGCTAGTGCTCTTTTGTTTAGACTTGCGACTGTCTTTGGAATAGCCTGGTTCCATCCTGCTTTGTGGCCCGGACAGAAAATCTGCCATTTTTTTTTGTCTTTCTTGTGTCGGGACCCCCTTTGGCCACCTGGGAAAACCTAGGGACCTCTTCTGAAGATCATGTTTTTAGTGCATAGAATAGAATACAAAGGATGACAAAGGAAATCAGTTACATTGAAACAAAGATGTAATTATTTTCTTGGTCTAGGGTCTGGGTTGGAAGAGGAATGAAGCAGGAGGAAAAGGATTGGCCCCATCCTACCTGATGTCCTGGTGTGTACATCTAACTGCTTCTCTACCCACTGCTGGGGATTTGGTGAGAAAGCTTTCTGAACTAAAAATACAGAGAGATGAAGAAAAGGGAATTGGAATGAGATTATCCAGGATTTGTGTGTATTCTGCATATACTTGAATAAATAATAGTTGTCTCCCCAAAAGAATAAAAGCTTCTTGAGGGTGGAGTCTGTTTCCCTTTTGTCTTCGTATTCCACAGTACCTTAATAATATGCCTAAATGGAATACTTAATGAATGATTGAATATCTAGTCCCTTGATAAGAGATAAGCTTCGATCTGGGGAAAATAACTCAGGCCTGGACTCTGGGATCTGAGTGACCTGGAGCAGGTCACTTCTCTCTAGGACAATGTCCTCACCAGCAAAAGAAGAGGGTTACATTAGGAGATCTCTGAGGTTCTTGCCAACTCCACATCAATGATTCTACAACATGGGGAGGAACACTGGTTTGAGTCACCTTGGAGAGCACCCTGGCTTGCAGGAAGCAATGTGGCTGAGGAAGAAGGCAATGTGTGAACCCACAAGGACTGATGAGCACCTCCTGGACCACCATTGTCTGCCTACATGGTGACACTCAGGGATTTTTGCTCTTTGGGTCACTATTGGGAATCACATACCTTCATTAGTGACTCCAGGAAGGGAAACAGTTTTTTCGGAGGGCTTTTAACATGCTTTACTGACCCAACAGGAGCCAAGCCAAAAAACATCTTGATTCTCTGAGCCAGCTTCGGATTTGTAGAGAATGATATGAAAGCTAGAAGAGAACAAGAGACTCAAGGGCTGTTTAAGGTTAAGGTTGAAGTCATCTTCTACAATAGGAGACAACCTAAAGGTAACAAGAATGAGAATCCCAGAGAGAGGAGGAAAGCATAGCATTTTCTTTGGCCACCTTGTGAAGCCCAGGGACCTTTTCCCAGAATCAAGTTTTCTTTTTTTAATACATAAAATAGGATACATAGGATGACAAAGGAAACCAGTAATGTTGAAATAAAGATGCAATTTTCCCTAAGTTCACGGATCCCTTGCAATCTATCCACAGTGAGCCCCAAGTTAGAAACCCTGGCCTAGAGGAGAATAAGGATCAGGGGGACAGCAACTTGGCCAATGGTGCATGGGTTTTGATTAGCTGAGTTGGAAACCCTGCTGATAGAAAAGTGTAAAGGAAGTCTGAACTCAATGTTTTTCTATTTCCAAGGAATCTCCACAGGGGAAGGAAGAGTCAAGAACAGATGGAAGATTTGTCTGAGGGTCTTTTTTTTATAATTCCAAAGGAGTGAAAAGGTTTAATCAGCTGTTGGAAGAGCCCCTATAAAAAATGGCTGAATGATCTAGAATCAAAGACCATTTCCCAGCCTGCTTTGGGCTAGACTACACTCTGAGGCTGCAGACCCATCACTGCTATTTGTAATGTTGGGGCCAACATTTTAGATACCCACTGTAACACAGGAGCCACTGGAGTCTTTTAGACTCCAGCCTCTAATAGGTTCACTCTGGATCTGGGCAGCCAGAAGAACAGGAAGACAGCTTCAGAGGGGTTAAATAATAACTTATTCTTAGTATTCTGTCTCAATGGTTCCTGATAATGGGAGCACCAACTCCTACAGGATCCCCTTGATATAAAAGCAAACACTGCCCTAAAAGCTAAATGCTTTTTAAAGAAACACATTTTAATTAAGGGTTGGTTTTCCAGCACCTTGTGAGGCCCCTCCTGAACCTGAGGGCATCCTAGAGTCTCTTTCCCTTATCTTGAGATACCATAAAACCTCCCCCCTATCCTGGACCATAAAAATGCCTTGTCTCCCTCATCAGGAGTCATAAAATTTCCCATCTTCCTTATCCTGGGTCCCCTATCCTGTTATCTATCTTCCTCATCTTGTGTCATGACAATCTTCCTCCTTATCTTGTAAGATAAAACAGACCTCTATCCCTCTGTAAGTTGCTAGTCCTCTTTCCAGAGTGAGCCCACTGCTTTTGCGTCAATAAAGCTCCACTAGTTAAGGAGAAGGTCTAAGTGAATTCTTTCACACCTGAACCAGTTCTCCCAACTCTAAACCTTAACACCCTCATCACCCTTCTCCAGGGGTAGATGAGAAGAGGGGCAATAACCCCTCCATCTCAATAGGGGCCAATTGAGACAGGCACAGCATTCCAGCTTGTGCATTCCCCTAAAACCTCCCAAGCTTCAATGGGGGCCATTTGAGGCAAGCACAGCATTACACTGTCATATTCCCAAATCCCACAAATCCCCACTCACTGACCAGTGCTCACCTGATTTATAGGGGAACACATAAAGAAGGCAATTTGCTAACAATAAGCTCACAGGTTCATATTAACTCATCCCTATATCTCACTGTGCAGTTGCAGCAGAAATTGTTTACAAGCCATGAGCCTGGGAACTATTATCTATGATCTAGAGAACTAGAGATTGTTTTTTCCGTGGATCCTGGGAATTGTTATCCAGAAAAGAATAACAAAATCTACCTTACTTACATCCATCCTTATCAGGTTAAAGCAATTTTTCGGTTTTCAATTAGCTCCATCTATTAGAATAAATGTCTAAGTTATATCAGGGAAATGGTCCCAATTCAGCTTAGGATCAACCTGCAAAACCATCAGTTACACTGATACAATCCCAGATGCCCTGGGCCCAGGAGAGAGTGGTGGGTGTCTTCATGGTAAAGAATAGCTAGCCAGCTATGGCTCTGTGGATACCTCAGAGGCAGAAGGAGTCTCAGAGGCCCCCTTATGCAATCTATACATGAATAAGAGTTCCTTCTACTTTAAACCTGACAAGTGGTCATTCAGACTTTATTTGAAGATCTCCAGTGATGGGGAGTCCATTTCATAGTTCATGGCTTTGGGAAGAACTCTTAGTTCTGCCCTGTAGGACAAAGAACAAATCTAATCCCCTTCCATCTGACAACCCTTCAAATACTCCTTTCTTTGAATGCCCAGCACTTAGCACAGTAACCAGCATATAATAGGTCCTCAATGAGTGCTTGTTGACTGGCTGACTGACAGCCATCCTCTACTTCCTAAATCTCTTCTTCAAACTCACCACTCAGTGCATTCAACCAATCCTGTTTCCTAAGGGGATATTTTGCTTGCTTGAAGGGAAGAAAAAGGATGTTGGTATAAGAATCACAGCTTGACACAGTTCTGAGGACCTGAGAGAAAACAGCTGCTTGATAAATATAATGAGAAGACCTCTTTGACAGCAGCTCAAAGGAAAGAGAATTGACTGAGGTCCAGATAGACAATAATGCATTGTTTTCTGTAACTGACTTACATATCTGTTTTCAGGATTTTGAAAGATAGAATTTAGAAACCATAAATCATAAAACTATTTGGGGAATGTGAGGAACTGGTCAACTGTTGGTTTGTATTATAACAGGTAAGACTATAGACTCAACCTAAGTTGCAGATGAGTCACAACTCATGAGGAAGCTCCAAGTCAAGGCATTAGAAACCAATTGAGATGGAATCAGAAAAATGAGAACAACAGTCAGAACAAAAGAGAAGATGATGAAGACCTACACAGACTAAAGACTGGTCTCTGCTGATTGAAAGAAGCACAAAAGTGAAGAATCAGAAGATAAAAGCAGTTGTCTCTGGCAGAGATCCGACTATAAAGCCAGTCTCTGCAGCATTGCTGGAAGCTATTTAGAGGAAATAGAACCCTCCTGCTCTATGTAAAACTTGCTGAGTTGTCTGAATTGCTTTTCTTTTCTTTCTTTCTTTCTTTCTTTCTTTCTTCTTCTTCTTCTTTCTTCTTTCTTCTCTTCTTTCTTTCTTCCTTCCTTCCTTCCTTCCTTCCTTCCTTCCTTCCTTCCTTCCTTCCTTCCTTTTCTTATTCTTTTTTTTTTTGCAAGTGCAATTTGAGAGTCTACTGAGGACCAACAAATATCACAGTGGATCTGGGAACAGTCCTGATTGGAGGAGAGCTTGATAGCTATTGGGAGCTTATTGGAGAAACCAGAATCTCTTGTTGTATGAAGAGCTGGTTGGGCTTGTCTGTACTTCTCTTTAGTGCCAGCTATAGACAGAGAAGTCAAGCATCTTTGCTGGCTGTCATCCATGCTTAGATAGCTCTCCCTCCTCATTTAGGATTCTTGGTTTCCTTCAAATTCCACCTAAAGTCTCACCTTCTGCACTTAATGACAGCAGACTCCTGCTATTATTTACAGTTTATTCTGTCTATAATTTGTGTGTAGTTTTTTCTTGCGTATTGTCTCCTCCATGACACTGTGAGCTCCTTGAGAGCCAAGACTGTCTTTTGCTTTTCTTTGTAACCTCAGCACTTAGCATAGTGCCTAACACATAGTAGGCTTGTAATAAATGTTGACTGACTGAGAGAGGAATGCTTTCAGAGGTCATAGAGAAGATCTAAAGAGCTTTTCAGGTCTCAGGCTCAAGGGAACTTCTTGTCACTGAAATTCCTGCTTCAATGTCTAGACTCAGGGCTGCTGCTTCACTAGAAGAATATAATGCCATGCTCTATGAAAAGACTTAGCCCCTCCTCCACAGACTGAGAGTAGCCAAGAAGAGGCTTCATCCAGCAAGGGTGCAGAGAAACTCCTCCTATGAGGAGCAAGTACCATGAGGCTCATCGCTCCCTAAAAAAGACCACCGGCACTCAGGCCTATAGCCCCAGGTGCACCTTCTAACTGAACTCATGCCTTGCTATGCTTATTCTTGTGTAATAAATATTTCATTCTGAAGTTGATGGTGTTGACACGATCACTTAGTGTATGGTGGAAGCACCCAGTTCAAGGGCAGCACCATCAGTGTGAGTGGGTGAGTAATCACCCCACCCATTGTGCTTAATACATTTAGAATATGGGGCTCAGAATGGAGCCAATTTTGAACACCTTATGCTTGTCCTACAATTCCCATGTCAGATGTTTGAGTCTCCTCAAACTTACTTTTGGGGATTGAATCCAGGACTAGTAGTCCCCTATGTCTAACCCAAACTTCATACAGGAGATTGCCCAGAGAGAAGAGAGGCTGGCTGCCACCCAAGGCTCTCATCCACCCACCAGCTTACACATACCAATGGTGGTACCCTGGGAATGGCCCAGGTAATACAGTTGCTTCTGCCTGGTTTTCTTCACAATAAAATCAATTGTGGCAGGGAGGTCGTAGTTAGCCATTTCATCAAAACTGCCAAAGAAAGAAAGAAATGAAGCTGGATATACATTCCGGTTGTGATGTTGGCTTTTAAACAAATAACCGTTTATGGGTAGACTCACATCACTATGAGCTTATGGGCCCTCTTCACTGAGGCAGATCCCCTGCTCCCTTAGGTCTTAGGAAGTGATTGACAGGGCTAACTCCAAACATCTGGGAATCAACCATCCAGTGGAGAGCCCCTCTTAGCCCAACTAATTTCCTCCCCAAAGGGCAGATGCACTGTCCTAATTCTCCCCTGCCCCTGCTTTTAAGAGCCCAAGGTTACTTCTTTACAATGAGGAGGCATCAGAGAAGTAGAGACGACAACCTTTAGTTTTGGTGAAACATTATTTTTTCAAAACTCGGCCTGTAACTTTCCTAATGTGAGGGGATCCCAGTGAGTAAATCCCCTCTGCCAAGCCAGATCAGCAGCTGACCTATTATTTATAGGCATAGACATGTCTAGTCTTTTAAAAATGAAGTTTTGCAAAGTCAAAGACTATCTTCTCTACTCAACTGAGAGAAGAAGTGACTTGCTCAGGGCTCCACAGGCAGGATGTTTCAAAGGCAAGACCTGAACCTGGATCTCAATTTACTATGCCAGGCTTCCTCTCATGGCTGCTAAGGTGTTCTTCACTTGGGGTCTGGGAACTAGGATTTTCAATATTCTGATAACTGGATTTCATTATAATCAGTTGCCTTTGTAACCCTACATATTTTATGCATTTGAAAACATTGTCCTGAAAAGGGTTCCATAAGTTTCAACAACCTTGCAAAGGTGGGGTGGTGTTTCCATGACAGAGAAGATATTAAGAGCCCTAGCTCAAAACTTTGGACCTATTTTGTTAGATGTCCATGCTTGTCAACCTCTTGGAGATTCAGAACACTAAACTTATCCAATTGAAGATCCCCAGCTGAACTGTAAGCTCCATGAGAGAGGGCAGGGGCTTCTCACTGATCTTGTTAATATGTCTAGCTCCCTAACCTAATAAGGTACTATGCCCTGAGTGGGCTCTTAATATGGAGGGAATCCAATTAGAGGAAAAGCAAAAGAGGGTATTTCTGGACAATAAGAATCCACCAGACCACAATTTGGGTCAAATCGTGTATTTTCAGAGGCAGGACTTCCTTGTCTTTATCAGTGAAGTTTTCTGGAGGTGATTACCGTGTGAATTGTTCATATCTGAAGCCAAGTCCAGGAGCCTACAGAAAAAGCTCCATCTCCCAGTGAGGCTAAGCCCTCAATAGGACCTGGCCTTCTGGACTGTGGAAGGAAGGAGTCCAAGAAGAGCATCCCTGTGATTACCTCCTAGCCATATTCATTTACTCCCTTACATGTGGTAGAGTATTTGGCTGTGTGCCTGTATAGGTCAGGGAAGCCCCAGCATCAACTAGGTCCTGGCAGATCTTTTAAGAATCTGGCTGGCTCTGGAAATCCCCTGAATTCTGGCATGTTCTGCATATCTCTTTAAACAACTCACTGGGATGAAATGTAAAGAATGCAGCATTCGAAGGGGGGTGACTTGAATTGAAATCTGGCCATTGTCATGCCAGCTGTGTGGCCTTGGATAAGTCACTTTCCCTCATTGGACCTCATCCTCCTCATCTATAAAATAAGGGTTTGAACAAAATGATCTTTAAGCTCCTATGGAGCCTCCTTGTTCAGCCCCCACCTCCCTCTTGAACCTTACCAACTGCCTGCTGGACATCTCCACCTGGACATCTCCACTATGGTCATCACAAACACAACATGGCTAAAGCATAACTCATTACATTGCCCTCCCTAGGATAGGTCTCTAGGGTCCTAGAAAGTCTGTGCTAACATTCCATTCCAACTTAGTCATTGTCCTGAATGGAACCTGCTGTCTGATTAGAGACCAGAAGGACCTCATAATAACGTACATTCGTGACTATAGGTCAGTAGGTGGAACCAGGTGTAATAAAGTGGCTATCCCCTGCCCTGGTGCTGAACCACTCAGTCTGGTTCTACTTCCTGAGGTTCTAAACAGCCTCAATTATCATGGAATCTTAGGATTTAGATTTGGAAAAGAGAAGTTTGAAAGGCCCTTGGGTTCCCTCATCTCCAATTTGACAGTAAAAATAGAGACCACCCACTGTGAACTCTCTCTTCTCCCCATTCCACTCTCAGTCCCCCTCCCAGGCATTCCCCATTCTCCCCTCCTTTACTTCAGGTTCTCATGAAGAGCTGGCCCTTTTCCTTGCCAAGGCACCTACACCCTGCCTCTTCCCCTTCCATATTCCCCTCTCTCTCATCTTTATTTTCTCCTTATCCACTGGCTCCCCCTTTGTCACTTAGACACATGTCTTGCCTCTGGTCTCTCTCCTCCTTAAAAATGTATTCACCTGACCCTACCATTTCTTTAACTTATTGTCCTACATCTTTTCTCCCTTCCCCTGCCAAACTACCAGAAAAGGCTGCCTGTATTCATCACCTTCACTTCCTCACCCTACCACTTACTTCTCAATCCATGGATCTTCAATTCATCCTGGAGAAGGGAAGGGGTGTGTGTGTGTGTTTATAGCAGTGACCTCATCACTCAACTGAAAGTCTTTCTCCAGGGCTACCAGTGATCTCTTAACCAATAAAGCCTTTGCTAATTCCTCATCCTTCAAAGCCTTTTATTATAGAGGCTGTGACTCCCAATTACTAATAGGGAGAACCTGGAATGAAAAAAGGAGAGGAACAATTTCACTTTCTTTTGACTTCAGGAAAGGAGAAGAGATTATATGAATAAGAACTAGAAAGGGCCTTAAATGTCATAACATTGAGCTCCATGTTTTTATGGTGAAGAAAACTGATCTCAGAAAAGGGAAGTGACTAATCCAACATCACACATGAGCATCAGAACCCAGTCTTAGACCCAGCCTCCAAATCTAGTTCTGTCCCGCATCATCCCAGGCATTTGGGAGAATATTCCTTCATGGTGAAGGAACAAAACCAGAAGATGGCCACATTTGAAGGAAACTAATGCAAAATTATTGCCTTCCTACCTGAAAGCCCAGAACTCTTCTGAGTCTGGAGACAAGGACACATGTCTCTGAGACCAGATGGTTCCCCGGCTGTTCCCCAGCCACACATCACAACCAGCATCTGCCAGAACATAGGCCAAGCTGTTTGGGGGCAGGTTGGCAATCCAGTTAAAAGCGGATGCAGACAAACCGTGTTGCAAATATACAACAGGACGATAGGGAGCTGTACAAAAGAAGAGGAACAAAGTCACACAAGACCCAGATCACCTCCAAGGACCCTCTCAGAACTGATTCCTGAAAGTGTAGAAGAGAGAGGGGGAGGGAAGGAAGGAAGGAAGGGAAAGAGAGATGGAGACAGAGACAGAGAGACAGAGACAGAGAAGGAGGGGAGAGGAAGGAAGGAGTTGGGGGAGAGAGGAAGACAGAGACAGAGACAGACACAGAAAGACAGAGGTGAAACAGAGAGACACAGAGAGAGACAGGAACAGAGACAGAGAGAAGGAGGGGGGAGGAAGACAGAGACAGAGAAAGGAGGAGGGAGGAGAAGGGAAGGAGAGAGAGAGGGAGGAAGGAAGACAGAGACAGAGAGAGACAGAGGTGAGACAGAGAGACAGAGACAGAGAGAACCATAAGGACCTTACAAATCATGGAGTCCCATCCTTCCGTGTGTGGAAGAAGACAGAGAAAGCCAGAGGCACAACATGACTTGCCTGGAGCTCCAGGGGCCTACCTAGGAAAGGCAGGCTTTAGACCTGGCGCCTGTGACTTCAAAGCTCAAACTCCTTTCTGCCTCCCTGCCTCCCACTCAAAGGTCTAGCCCCAGTGTGGCAGCAGAGTTTTGGATTCTTCATTCTGGCTACAATGCATCCTCTTTCTGGTGATTGGTAAGATAGCATGGAATAGTAGATAAAGAGCCAGGCTGCAGATAGAAAGACCTGAATTCAAGTATCTGTTGTATCCTGTCTATATGACTTTGGGGAAGTCATGTAACCTCCTACTGGCCCAGGCCACTCCCCAAAACTCTGTGTTAAAGAAAAGCTGATGATTTGCATTAAAAGAAGGAATTTTTCCATCAGGAATCCTGGGTCCAATCCCATTTTATAAATGAGGCAGCTGGAGTTCAGAGTGTAAGGGACTTGTCCAAGGTCACACAGTTTCAGCTGGATTTTGAACCTTGGTCTTGACTCAAGGTCTAACATGTTTCCCCATAACTCTCTATCACTTGGGTCATTTCAGAGCAATTGGTCACTTTAATTTCAGATCCCATCATGTCTTAAATTTCAAAATGAAATTTAAAAAATCTTGGTGTTGGAAGGGAACTCAGAGGCATCTGATGCCACATAAGCTTGGCCAGACATTTCTGGGTCTACAACTGGCCTGGGAAATTAATTCCCTCAGCTTTGAAATTCAGGGCCTGATCTGTCCTGATGAGTGAGGAAATGACTTCAAATGCTGTGCTTCCAATCTCATCCACCCACCCACCCATCCATCCATCCATCCATCCATCCATCCATCCATCCATCTACCTACCTTGGATATCTTACCATCCTGGGTATCTTACCATCTTTTCTCACCTGCTCACCTTTCCTTCCCTCCCAACTCTTCTTCTTCTACCTCTTGCTCTAGAAACAGCACTACCATAGCACTACCATTGCTTCTGGGAAGATTACCTTTTGATTCCATTCCCCAGCTCCCAGCCTTAAACTCCTTACTTTGCCACCTTCCAGATAAGCTTTATCTTCTCAAATTGAAATGTAAGCTCTTTGTGAGGACAGATTATCTTAATTCCTATCTCTGAACTAGTGTCACTTCCCAGAGTAGATCCTTAATAAATACTTTTGCATTCATTCATTCATTCATTCATTCATTCATTCATTCATTCATACATTCAATCACAGTGGTCTCTTAGCTTTTGCTTGAAGACCTCAAATAAGAAAGGAACCATTCCCTTCCAGGCCCATCCACTTCTACTCAGATCCTTATGTTGGGAAATTTCGCTGACCTAGAACCCAAACTTGTCTCCACCCAATGCTCCATGTTCTGCTCTTGAGGACCAAATAGCACAAATCAAATTTCTCCTTCCTATGACTTCCTTTTACGTATTTTAGCACACCTAGCAGGTCTCCCCTGAGCCTTCTCTTACTCAGAGCAGGCTTCCCAGATTCCCTCAATTAATCCTCATGTGAACTTGAGGTTTCTTCCTCATCCTGGTTTCCCTCTTCCTGGTGTTCTCTAGCTCCTCAAGGTCTTTCCTAAAATGAGGAAGTGCCCAGAACTGGACCCTCCTTCTAGATGTGACATTACCAGGGCTAAGAATATCAGGTCTATCACCCCCTTTCCCCCGTCCTAAACACTCTGACTCCTTTTGGATGCAGCCTGACAGCCCAGCAGGTTTTTGGTTGTCAGGTCAGAGGTCATCATATCAGGTTGGGGTTCAATCTGATCCTTTTGAAAATGGACTTTAGTACCCCCCATATTCTTCTCATCTTCGCCTTTGAAACTGATGTTTTGAACCAAACATAAGACTTTATCGTTACCTCTATTAATTTCATTTGGTTAGAATTAGCTCAATGTCTTAGACTGTCAACACCTTTTTGGATCTTGACTTTCTTATCCAGCATATTAGTGCTCTCCCTGCCAAAGTTGTGTTATTTGTGCCTTTTCCAAGTCATTGGGCCCAGCATAGATCCCTAAGGAACTCCACTAGGGACCTCCTTCCAAATACTTCCTTCTACTCTTACCTGTTCCTAAACATTCTTTCCCATGAGGAATCCTGTAAAGGCCCAGAATATAACCATCTTTAGTCACGATGTCATATTGTTCATTGGGGTAGCCCCAGTAAGACATAATCTGGCTCTGTATGGAAAGAAGACACATTTTTATTGGTCTTGCAGGCTGTATTAGCCTAGTTCAACCCATGGATGCCTGTCAATATTGCTATGTTCATTCTCTTGGTGTGTGAGTGTGGAACATGAGTGTGCAACTATAACCTCCAGGGGGTCTTTGTTCACTGGAGGCACAGGAAGTAAGGGGAGGGGTAGGGTGAGAGAGGGGAAAAGCCTCATGGAGGAGGGCATTTTTGGAGACTTGAAGGAGCTGGGAGGGGAATAAGAGATACATAAGATAATTATCTTAGGTATCTAAGATAATAAGATATCATACCTAAGACAAGAATACTTCCCATTTTTATGAGGCCTAAGTAGAACGAATAATAACCCCTCTTTAGATGAGTTGGGGGCAGCTGGGGGCACAGTGGATACAGAATTGGGCCTGGAGTTAGGAAGAATCATCTGCCTGAGTCTAAATCTAGCCTTAGATGCTTACTAGCTGTGGGATCCTGGGCAAGTCACTTAACCCCGTTGGCCTCAATTTCCTCATCTGTAAGATGAACTGGAGAAGGAAATGGCAAACCGCTCCAGAATCTTTGCCAAGAAAACCCCAAATAGAATCACTAAGAGTTAGATATGACTGAAACGATTCAATAACAAGAACATAGATGAGAATCTGAGGGTCAGTGTGAGGCTTGTCCAAGATCACAAAGTAACTGATGAACTTCAGATCTGGGGTGAAATAATGCCATAAGAACGAGGTCATTTCCTACCTTGGCTGATGTTCTAAACATTCACAGTTTTGGTGATATTTAGGACCTCACTTAGTGAACAGCCAATTGTGGATCCCACTCTGGGAAAACACATTGTCTTCATAGAAGCCCATGGCTGTGCAACCTAATGGTCATTCCGCCCAAAACATAGCTTACAAGATTCATACTAGCTTCTGGATTTGTGGGGATTCTGTTTTTCAAGCTGTAACCACTTTGTGTTCCAGTAATGAACATCCAACAGGCAATGACTGGAAGGCTCCACATTTGGAATCTGCCTGAAACAAAAGCAGAGGATGAGCAATCCTGTGGAAACCAAAGGGCTTTTTTCCAAAATGAGGTCAACTACAGTGTCCTTTATGACAACATCAACTCCAGTGATGTGGCTCTTAATGAGTCTTAGCTGCTGATGGGGCTCGAAGCCATGGGGATGTGGATAAACACCTTGTGTCTTGAACTAAAATGGTGTGAACATGATTAAACCTAGATGTCACAAAGATTTTTTTTTTAAGTACAGGATTGAAAATGATGAAAAAAGGCCTACAGCTGGTCTAGCTTCATCATTAAATCCATGAGATATACATATTTCAAACACACACACACACACGCACACACACACAAACACACACACCCCTGAGCATGTCCATTAGACTGAAAGGAAGTGTGAGCTAGTGGATAGAGACCTGGCCTAGGAGACAGTAAGATCTGGGTTCAAATCCTGCTTCAGATACTTGCTAACTCAGTGATTCTGGGCAGTCCTTTTAATGTTTTTCCTCACCTATAAAATGAAGTTGGGCCAGAGGGCTTCTAAGACCTCTTGAGACTAGTCTAGACAAAGCAGGGCACCTGTGGGAAGCCACCATGCTGCCAAGACCTAGGGAGTTTCCCTTCCCCCTGTTCTTTTGGCTTGCTGGTAGAAAGCCAGGAGAGCTGACTACTAAAAGGGGCATGTCTGCGGGGGTGCCTATGGATTGTTAATGAGGTGAGCCTCACAGATAAAGGCCTACACACTAAAGGTGCTATTTATAACTCAGCTGTACCCAGTTGGGTTCCTTATCTGCTGAGGCTCATCTCAGGCAGATATAACCTGATGGGTTGTTAAGACTGGGAAAGCCATCTGGCAAACCAAGGCTGTTCCAGCTAAACCTGGGGTTCTCCTATCTGGGATGGATTGTGCCATAGTGCATGTGTGATCTTGGGTAAATCACCTGCCCAGGGTAGCCCTTAGTTTCCTCATCAAAATTTTGCTCAAGCAATGTCTTCTGCACGAAGAAGGGCCCTGACTTCCAAGTTATGTCAAAATCACTTTGTGTCTATAATGTGTACCCATATACATTGTAGACATATGATCTCCCCCATCACAATGGAAGCTCCTTAAAGAGCAAGGACGCATTGAGTTAAAAAAAAAACTCAATTCTTTGCCTGGAGCTTGGTATATAGTAGATACTAAATAAATGCTAGTTGATTGATTTACTGACTGACTTGACATCTTAGGATTTGAGTAGGTAATTTCTCAGGCCATTTCTAGTTCCTATGATCCTAGACAAAGATTCCTGGCTTCTAAACTGGGAAATCCACATCCCAGCTTTCTGCCTGTTCCCCACGTGGGGAGCAGAGGGCCTTATTGAGGTATATAAAAGGCCCCCAGGAACAGCCCAGGGCCTGTACTAACCATCTTTGGAAATACATCTCTGGCTGGGGGCGGGGTGGAAGCAAAAAAGTAAATTTACATAATAATTTTGTTGTACATATGAAAGGAATAGCAAGTTGTGCATAGTAGATCTGCAGTTTCATGTGCAATCATCTTTTTAATTGTACTATGTTAGCGAAATGTTTGTTTTATTCCATTGATTAAAATATGTTTTTAAAAGAAACACATAGATGGACTAAGATCTATTCTGCTGGGCCTTAGGGGCAGCAGTAAGAGTGGGGGAAGGGGAGGCAATGACAAAGAGGACAATTTAAGATTAAGGGAAGGGAACACTTTTAAGTAATTTGAGCTTAGCACAAGGTAAGAGCTTAATAAATCCCTTTTCCTTCACCCCCAAGTGGAATACACTACCTGGGGTCACAGTGGGGCCTCCTCTCTGGAGGTCTCCCAGGGGTGGCTGGATGCCCCACTGTTAATGATGAGAAGCTTCTGGGTCAGGTGTGGGTTGGACTCAATAGCCCTGAGTTCCAGTCTGCCTGGGAAAGGCTCTGGTTTTGGAGCTGTCTGAGGGCAGATCTGCACAGTTTGAAGCGAAGGGGAGAGGAGAAATCTGTATACATGAAAAAGGCTGTGTAATGCTTAGAACCCAGTCCAAGAACTTAGCACCCAAATTAGTACTGAGGGTTCTGACTGAAAAACTTCACAGAACACTCTTTCCCAACCAAAGACTAAACAGAGATCCCTCAATGGATTAAATTTTAGAGCTGGAAGAGACTTTGTAGATCATTGAGCCCAAGCTCTTTACCTCACAGAGAAGACTGCGACTCTATCTTCCTGACTTGGCATACTATTACTAAAAATAATAATAGTAGGCACTTATATGGGGCTTTAATGTTCTCAAAACACTTTAAATGTTGTATTTGATCCTCAAAACAACCTCGGAAGACAGACACTCTTGTTTTCTCCATTTTACATATGAGGAAACTGAGGCTGAAAGCTGTTAAATGGCTTGCTCAGGGTAATACAGTTAAGTGTCTAGGGTAGGATTTGAATTCAGATCTTCCTGACTTGAAGATGTTCTATCCACGAAGTCACTCTGTCTCCCAGAAGACTTGTGGTCTAGTCCTGGCTTTGCCAGTTGGAGGCTCTGTGACCTTGAAAAAGTTAAGGTCTCTGTTTCTCAGTCTTCTCACTTCTTAGAAGAGAATAAGGGTCCTTACTCTATCCACTTCATAGAGCTTTAATGAGGTTCAGAGTTGTTCTTGCATGAGATGAGAATACTGAGGCTCAGAGAGGGCCATGAACTTGGCCAAGCTAATGAAACTAGTAAGTAATACCTGAGTAAAATTGTAAAATTGGTCTGAGAGCTTTCTAAGGGTAGGTGTGGTCCAGGAGAACTCCAGTGGGATTTGAAGGCAGAGGACCTGGGTTTGAATCTTACTTCTGGTACTAATGATCCATATGTTGCCAGGCAAGTCTTTATTGCCAAGTTCTGTTAATTCTATCTCTTGCATTCACCTCCATTTCTCCTCTGACTTTGAGCCAGCTAAGGAAGTAAATGCAAGAGATAATAGGAGGTCTTCCCAAGTCATTGGACAGACAGTGGATAGGACATTGGTCTTGGATTAAGGAAGTCCTGTGTTCAAATCTGGTCTCAAGTACTTCTTAGCTACGGGACCCTGAGCAAATAACTTAACTTTTATCTGCTTCAGTTTCTTCAATTGTAAAATAGGGATAATAATAGTATCTACTTCACAGGATTGTAAGGATCAAATGAGATGATATTTGTACAGTGCCTGGCATTTAATAAATGCTTACTTCCTCTCTCTTTTACATTTTATTTCTCTTATAGGGCTCCTTCTCTCCACTCACACATCATCACCCTAACTAAGGCCCAGGTCATCTCCTAATTAGATTATTGTAATAGCCTCTTAGTTGATCTCCCTGCCTGAAGTTTCTCTCCATTACAATCTAATCTCCACTTAGATGCCAAAGTGATCTTTCTAAAGCAAAAATGGGACCAAGCTTCAGAGAAAAATGTGAATTGGTCTCAGACCCCAAAAGAATTCCTGAAAGAGCTCAAAAAGATTTTAAAAAATAAACAAGAAAGGTAGAAGAAAAATGGGAAAAAGAAATAAGAGTAAAGCAAGAAAATTATGGGGGGGGAAGTCAACAGCTAGTTAAAAGAGGCATGAAAATACTGAAAAAATAACACCTTAAAAAACAGAATAGGCCAAATGGTAAATGAGGCACAAAAATCCACTGAAGAGAAGACCTCTTTAAAAAGCAGAATTGGCCAAATGGAAAAGGAAGTACAAAAGCTTACCAAAGGAAATAATTCCTTAAAAATTAGAATTGGGTAAGTGAAAGCTAATGACTGCATAAGACACCCAGAAACAATAAAACAAAATCAAAAGAATGAAAAAAAATGGAAGAAAATGTTAAGTATCTCATTAGAAAAGTAACTGACCTAGAAAATAGATCCAGGAGAGATAATTTAAGAATTACTGGGCTACCTGGAAGCCATGATAAAAAAAAATGCCTATAAATCATCTTTCAAGAAATCATCAAGGAAAACTGCCCTGATATTCTAAAACCAGAGAGTAAAATAGAAATGGAAAGAATCCATCATTCAACTCCTGAATGAGATACCCAAATGAAAACTCCCAGAAATATGAATAGCCAACTTTTAGAGCTCCCAAGTTAAGGAGAAAATACTGTAAGCAGGCAAAAATAAACAATTCAAATATCATGGAGCCACAGTCAGGATCATACAAGACTTAGCAGCTTCTACATTAAAGGACTAGGGGAAGGAGGGGCTTGGAAGATTATATTCTGGAGGGCAAAGGAGCTAGGATTACAACCAAGAATCTCATATCTAGCAATACTCAGGATTAACCTTCAGGGGAAAAAATTGGCATACAATGAAATAGAGGACTTCTGAGTATCCTGATGAAAAGGCCAGAGCTAAACAAAAAAAGAAAGTTGATTTTCAAATACAAAACTCAAGAAAAGCATAAAAATGCTAAGAGCAAAAGAAGTCATAAGGGATTCAATAAGGTTAATCTGTTTGCATTCCTACAGCAGAAGATGATACTTACAATTCTTAAGAACTTTATCATTTTTAAGAGAAATCTACATAGACAGAGGATGTGGGTGTAAGTTGACTATGATGGGATGAAATCTAAAAACAAATAAAATTCAAGAGTGAGAAAGTGGGATGATTATGATGGGATGATATCTAAAAAGAATAAAATTAAGGGGTGAGAAAGAGGGATGCACTGGGAGAAGGGGGAAGAGAAAAGTAGAATGGGGTAAATTATCTCACATAAAAGAGGCACAAAAGAGGTTTTACAGTGAAGGTCATGGGGAATGGTGGTGGCAGACAATGCTTGAATTTTACTCTCATTGAAATTGGCTCAAA